CCTGTAAGTGTTCCAGACCAAAGTGTCTATTTTATCCCAGGATCAGAACTGTATGTGGAATGTGCTATTTCACTGTAGTGTGTGTGAATTACTACATGTACAATTACAAGGGTGTCTCAGTGGTAAACCATGCAATCTTAAACAGTTAATTGATCAGAGAGTACCGAGTTTCTGTTTAATTTCGGAGCCAATTATCACCTTGCTGCCTCTTTTACACTTATCTTTAATTATCACTTCTAGTGTACTTATTAAAAAGTTTCTTAAGACAAATCTCCACTCTGGGGACCTCTGGGAGCATGGCTGAACACATTCCTTTAATTACATTTATGGCACCAGAAACAGACATTTTCTTTCCTTCTTGACATTGGCTTATGGTACAGAACATTTAAAGTGGCTGAACGATGTGTCAGTGCTGGTTTGATTACTGTCGTGAGCTTTTGGTGCATTTAGCTAGTTGCCCTTTTAAGAGCAAAGTAGTACTGTAAACCTATACATTGATGAAAGCTGATGTTTTTCTTTGGGGGGGGTCAGCCTATCTGCTGCTGAAATCGTTTTACTGATTTTGACACAGAGTTGAAATGGAGCACTGGGGATTATCTTTCCAGACTGACTAAGTTGCAGATTATGTTTTGGGATTTGAAGCATACAAGCAATATTTTTACAAACATGGAGTTAAAACTGCTGTGCTTGTGATGTAGAAAACACAAGGAGTTACAGCACTGCAATTTATAATGTTCCCGGGCAAAGCTACATTACTTGAATTTTTAAGCAAATGTTTGTTTTGCAATCTTAAAATATTGTTACTGTTTTACATTGAATTACAAAGGTTCAAGGCACGCATAAACTTAACTAATGGGGTCATAACTTTGGAAGGTTTTGCCGTGTCTGTGGAATTTCCCATCATGTGAAGTATATGACAAGGTTCTTAAGGTGGTCTTGTACATAACACTTTGTGTGCTACATAAAACTGCCAGTGCAAGCTGAAAGGACACAACTAGAGAAAGCTGTTGTTCTTGACTTGTTTTTGAAGGTGCATGTTCCAGGACAGTCATCTTCACTTGGTCACTGACCTGGAACAAGAATGTATATATTAGGAATCTTAACATGATATACGATAGCTTGCTTCAGGTCAGGGACTTGGCAAGAAGGGATGGAAGAGAAAGGATTACAGCTCCAAAAGATAACGGCAATAGCTCTCATTTCGATCCTAACAGGTTTCTCCAAAACCAAATGGAGGTGGAAGTGAGGAGCTGGATGCAAATCTTTTAAAAGCATGTAAGAGGTATTTGAGTCTAAAGGCCTAGATTCGGCAGCTCTCCACAAAGCTGGGATTCCCTGGGAATATGTATCAACCAGCTTGAGAAGTCTATGTAAAGTTGAGCGACTAAAAACAACTAGTTTATTAGTTCCTCAAGGGACAACAGAACTAGGAGTAGCTGTCATTCTTGGCCTGTTTTTGATAGCTCATGTTCCAGGACTGTCATCCTTACGTGTTCACTGACCTAGAACAAGCATGTACTTAGAGGTGAGCTAACACATGATCATAGATTGCTGCAGGTCAGGGACTTGCCAAGTAGGGAAGAAGTAAAAAGGACTACAGTTCCATAGCTTGCACCAGCAAATGCTAGTCAACAGCAATAGCTCTCATTTTTATCTTTACATATTTGTTTGAAAAGCAGATGGAGGTGAGGCACTAGATACAAAACCTTTAAATGTATGAAAGAGATCTTTGAGTTCAAAGGCCTAGGTACAGCAGCTCTCCACAAAGCTTGGATTCCCTAGGAATAGGCGTCAACCAGCTTGTGAGCACCAGAACCAACAAGAGTTCAGAAATGTAGTTCCACAAATGACAACAGTGTACCACAAGGCATTGAACACATTTCAGGGACACAACAATCCCTCGTAGTCAGAGTATCACAGTATCTAATGGACTAAAAATGAAAAACCTGCATGTGCCAATCAGAACCAGCAGGGTCCACAATAAGTGAGTGCCTGTTTTGAGTAGCAGCACCACATGAACATGATTATGCCACGATATCACTCAATACAGGCACTCACTCATTCGGTGCTCCTTTTGGCTTGACCTTACAAAGATTTCTTTGAAAAGACTGTGTGGGCCAAGTCTTTTCTATCTATTGCATTGTGTCCTAAGCAAATACAGGCTGTATTCACCCAGTGTATGAAGTAATTGGTGCCAAATTGGGCTCCTTTTTATTAGAGACCCTCACAGGATTGTGGGTAAATATTGTCAGCACTTTTGCTATAGTAATTGAGTTGTTTCATTAACATAAGACAGAGTGAGACTGAGTTGCACCAATCCCTGTTCCCAAAACCTCTGAGCTTCTCCAGTCCTTCTAAATGGCAGATGGCCATTCAAAGCCAATTTAAAGGCATGCCACAAAATTTTACTTGCCCTTGGTCAAACGAGAAAATGGTTTTTCAGTTTGGAGTAGTGGTGTTTTTTTTTTTTTTTTTTTACAAGGAATGTATGTTTGTGCCATAGATACCTGCCAATGAAAACATATGCTGGTGCGTGGTTGATGGTTCATTCAGCTACTGATTGAATGTAAATGTTTGAATTAGTTTTGTATAGTATATACAGTATATTGCCTAAGTATTGGGACGTCTGCCTCTTTACACGCACATGGACTTTAATGGCATCCCAGTCTTAGTCCATAGGGTTCAATATTGAGTTGGCCCCGCCCTTTGCAGCTATAACAGCTTCAACTTTTCTGGGAAGGCTGTCCACAAGGTTTAGGAGGGTGTCTATGGGAATGTTTGACCATTCTTCCAGAAGTGCGTTTGTGAGGTCATGCAAGGAAATTTCACTTATTGCATAGGTGACAACCTATTACGGTGCCACGCTTGAATTCACTAAGCTCCTGAGAGCGACCCATTTTTTCACAAATGATTGTAGAAATGTGTCTGCATGCCTAGGTGCTTGATTTTATACACCTGTGGCCATGGAGGTGATTGGAACACCTGAATCCAATGATTTGGAGGGGTGTCCCAGTATGCTTGGCAATATAGTGTATTTAATGTAGGACATGCAGGAAGACTATAAACCATTTTCACTATAGGAAATGACTGTAAAAAAAACTCTCCACACCTAGAAAAGTCTTGCTTAATGGCTTTATGTGGTGAATTTTTAAAGTCCAACTCGAGATAGTTTCAGTTTTTGTAGTATTGGGCAGAGTAGGATAGGGTTAGAGCTAGATTTGTATCTGTGGATTAACAGATTAAACAGATTTCCCCTCACATCCTGTCAATACAAGTGATGGGAGATCTCTCAGGAGACACACAGTCAAAACTCACTGAAATATGGAGCAAAATTAGAACCTCTGTAAGTTTAGTATTACTGTCGGAGGTGAAATCTCTACATATTGGTCATGGACAACCAAAAAAAAACATCTCCCAAAAACATTTAGTCTTCCTGAATTAATCCAAAACATTAAAATCAGTTTTAGCCACCCTCATAGGTTTTTTTCTACTGGGTTTTTTTTCTTGCCTTGAAGTCTTTAGGCTGATCACAGGACACCACAGGGCCCTTTTTTTAAAAAAAAAACAAAAAACTTTTTTGCTTGTCTCTACTCAAAGCTGTCTAGACCTTATTGAGGCAGTGATTGACACTATGCTGATGCCCTCCCAATGGACTAGATATTACGCCCCACATTCACAATGGAGCCTTCCATGTTGAATGACACTAGACGTCATTCAACCTAGAAGAATCTTGTGGTCAAAAATGTGTACTACGGGCAGTATATGTATATGAAGCTACACTTGTAATGTTTTGTAGGGTATATACTGAAAAGCAGTGGTCCTCAAACTGTGGCCTGGGGGCTAGATGCGGCCCTTTGCTTGCTTTTATCTGGCCCTTGGGGTACTATTACATCCAATGATACCAACAATGGGCATAATTTGCCTTACCCTACTGAGACCAGTGAGGAGGCACAATTCCTAACAATGACACCAACAACTGGGCTCAATGACAGCAGTGATGGAGTAAAATTCCTCCCACTGACACCAGCGATGGGGTACAATTCCTTCCACTGGCACCAATTTTTTTTTTCCCCCGCTGACGTTGGGACGTTTCTACTCTCAGTGGCCACAGTCTGGTCCCCCAAAGTCTGAAGGACAGTAACCTGCCCCCCTGTTTATAAAGTTTGGAGACCATTGCTGTATAGTATAGTATCTATGTAACAAAGTGTATATACAGTATCACTATTTTGCACCTTACAACCCCAGCTTTTGTTTCCTTTGCACATCGGTAGCCAGGTATCTGCATCTTGCTGGCCTTTTAAAGACCATTTTGTGCAGGTAGTCTTCAGAGTATAAAATCTTTACTCATTGGTCTTATTTTGCAATAGACAAGTGTTGAGAAACAAGGATGATTTGCAGAATGGAAGCGCTGTGAGTGTCATTTGGGTGTAAACACTCCTCTATATTCTGAACTTGGAGGGTTTGCCTTAGGGCTGCATCGGCAGTCCCACATGTATCATGCATGTGCGTGTAAAAGCCGCAGCCTTCATTTTATTTATTTACATTCCTGTGATGTGAGGCTGCTTGTATCACTGTGGAGGAGTGAGGCCTGAATGAGTTTCTAAAGATTCTGCGGAGTAGAACTTAAATCTCCCTCTAATGATGTCATCAGTCCAGGATTACAGGTGTGGTATCTCTTTGCATCCCTGGATAAAGGTTTACAGCCTGCATCCCAGAAAGGAGTTTCAGGACCAGTTGGCTGAACATTTAGGTGACATGTGGGCTTTTACCTTTCACGTATGATAGGTTAGTTGAATGAATCTGTAGTTTCCTTCTTTTTATTAAACTTTCTTTATCCCTTTTCAGCCACCATCACAAGTTCATCAGAGAATGACGACCGCAGTGGTTCCAGTTTAGAATGGAGTAAAGATGGCAGTCTGCGGACTGTAGGACATCAAGGCATGATTCACGAAAGGAGGACAGATAATTGTTCGCCCGTCGTAGAAGAAGAAACGTGCAGCATGGCAGAGAATTTGCCAAAAAGTGACTCGTCTGCTGGAGAAGGCCCAGTTTCCTACATGCAGAACTCCAGCTCATTGGTGATGCAACGACCCAACTCTGTGGCAGGTAAGAGATGAAATCTTAGAGGGACTGTTTGTGTTTCTGAGAAGTTTAGTTGAAGTAACCGCAAATGGATTAGCAGTACATATTGTTTATTTTGCTACTCTTTGTTTATTGGTTTAAAGTGAATGCATTTTACTGCTTGTCATTACAATTGGTGTCTTTGGAGACATGGTCTAGGTTCAGTCTAAGCATCTGAACGGTCACCGGGGCTTCACCCAGGTAACGGAACAATTTGGGTTCTGCCTTTCTTTAGAAGAGATGTTCTGTAAAGCAGAGAACCTAGCCTTGTCACACACTGTTCTTTGTAAAGATGGGTTTAGATTTTTTAAATTTTTTTAGTTTTTTATGCTTGGAAATCTTTTTATTTTGTTAAATCATATTACCGTGGGTTGGCATAGTAAGATAATGTTTAGATATTATCTGGGTTTACACTAGTGATGCACCATATTATCTGTCAAAAATAGGGTTATCGACGTTTTGCCGATTAAAAAAAAATGCCGATGTGTTGGTTTTTTTTTTTAAAGGATAAGTTCACCTTTCATAAACTGTTACGTTACACCCATATTCAGGGTGTAATATGTAACATGTTATTAAAGGACTGGTCCCCGCTCCCCCACTTTGAATGATAGCAGGGGATATTCCCTCCCCTTTAGCTGTCAAAAACAAAACGCTGCCATGCGGAGCTACGACCACCCGGCCATGTCACTCATTCACAGTATTCTGTGAATGAGAAAACTACTAGTCCCGACAGCCTTCGTGGCTATTGGCCAGTAGTTCTTAAAGAAGTACCACAGCGCTGTTGTAGTTCATTGATTCTTCCTGTCAGAGTGTATCGGCTTGTTAGTATGGGCAAGCAGATAGCAGATATACTGACAGGTCTGCAGGAGTCCTGCATGTCACCAGCGATCTGCTTTATCACTGGTGCAATGCTTTCCAGGCTCCTGCAACAAAAAATAATAAATGCACATTTTTTATACCTGCAAAAATATTTTTTTTTTTTGTCAAAAGGTGAACTTATTCTTTACATTATTGTGCAGTATATATATATATATATATATATATATATATATATACTTTATATTTATATATATGTTATGAAAGGACTGGCCCCTCTCCCCCACTTTGACAGTTAGCAGGGGATATATATATATATATATATAGTGTGTATATATGTGTGTGTGTGTGTGTATATATATATATTATATATATATATATATATATATATATATATATATATATATATATATACTTTCGGTTTGTAGCCAAGTGCATCCTGAATTTTTGGTTTCGGTCCAGAATTTTTCACATCATTGTCTATATGGATAATCCTATCATGCACGCTGGAAACCTAAAGCTGGCCCTACACAAGGGCTCATTCGAACTTAAATTCAAAATTCTAAAAAAATAGTTTGTCAGAGCATTTGATCTTGCCTTTATTGGGGTTGATTTACTAAAACTGAAGAATGCAAAATTTGGTGCAGCTGTGCATGGTAGCCAATCAGCTTCTAACTTTAGCTTGTTCAATTAAGCTTTGACGAAAGAAATTGAAAGCTGTTTGGTTTCTATGCTGAGCTGCACCAGATTAAAAAACAGGTTTCTTTTGTATCTAGCACATGCACAGTACAATATTTTCATTCAGTTTTTTCCAAATCACATTCATGGTTAAATTAACTTCCATTCAGTTTAGTAATGAGAAAATTTTTCCATCCTGCTACTTCAAATTTTCTCATCTCTAGCGATCATCGATTTGACCCAATTAATTATTAAAAAAAATCTAGCAAACATTCTGCAACTGAAAAATTTTGAATAATATTCTACAGGTGTATGTTGATCCTAAGTACATTAGAATCAGATTGGTTTCATGCTGTTCAACTGCCCACTAGGAATGGAACAACGTTCCATGTATCTACTAAAAACATCAAGTAGCATTGTGGCTAATATCTTATTATAATGGTATAATGTTTCTAAAGATGAAACCTTTGGATAAGGTAGGGAGAGGTCGACAACCCTGTTAGGTTTTTATAACTGTCTATGTATGTCCCTGCTGGGGAGACTCCCCTTCTCTATTTGACCTGATGACTGTTATCATTGAGATTCCAATTTAGAGTACAGAGTTATGCAGGCCATAGACGGGTCATTTATCAGGCGAATTTTCGTCCGCACGAAAAATCGGCCGATATTCACGCCGTTAGTGGGGCAATGCCGTCGGCCATTTTTCGTGGATCTTCTTGTTTCTTTTTATCGGTCATGCTGGAAAATGGTGGCAGCATCGGCAACGACCGATTTTTCGTTTTGGCCGATAAACGGGCCCGTCTATGGCCTGCATTAGTTCACCTTTTTATTTTTTCTGTAAGGGTGAACTAACACTTAAAGGCAGGTCTGCAAGATCTACAAATGGGACCTCCTATGGGTATTAGCTGAGGTTCTCCTAAACTCAGTCCTGTCCCATATCAATGGGATTGTTTTACTGTTGTGTGTTTGCTACACTCCTTGCTATGGTAAGCTTTTGCCTGTGTCTGCTGTCTTTTGTCTTTTGTTGGTCCAAGCAAGTTCCCATATTTTCAATGCAATTTTTCAGAAAGTTTTCCAGTGACCCCTGGCTGGATTCGAGATGACCTTCTTTTCTATGGAATCTTCATTCACAATGTCTGCATTCTGAACTGTAATGTCAGGCAGAAATGAGGAGGGGGTCCGAGCAGCCTGAATTGTGCCACTGCCCAGATTTGAATTTGAACGTTGTGATGTGGTTGCAAGCAATGCACACTTAGATTGCTTGTTACTAATTGTGCCACATTCCTTCTGGATGAGCCGGCAGAACTGGGATCCAGTTCGTCTCTCTGGGGAGGGCAGGAGATGCTGAGAACTGAGTAGGTGTGTGCTGGTCGTGTTTATTGTGTCAGCAAGTTAGGCCGAGAAAACAAACAGCAAAGCTTGTCACTCCCGCTTTAAATGGCGTTTGTATAAAGGGAGGAGAGATGAGTGAGATGTTCAGGCCCTGCAGTAGGGAAGTCATTTAAATGGCAGGTGTCTTCTCTCTACATTCCAAGTTATACATCATCAGTCTATTCAGATGTGAAAAGGGTGGATTAATCAAACACATTTCACAGATGCATTTCCTGTGAATAAGCATGTGTTTTGGCCTTAAAAGATTTAAAGCTGAACTCCAAGCAGATATGAAACACTAATACGTGAAGCTCTGTGTCATTTTTTTTTATTACAAGCAGTGTAAGTAGTTGAATTTAACTTGGTAACAACCTCTTGCAGTCCCTGTACTGCAGAGCTCAGACTGGGAAATGGAGAAGCAGCACTAGGGGCCAATTAGTTATGCTGCAGTGCTCATGTGCAATAAGGAACCTGTTGATAGGAGAGAACAAAGTGATGGACAGATGAGCCCAATGATCTGTGTTAAGCCATTAAAATGGTGTTCTACATTCTCTTGGTACACTGTACGTTGTAGTTATGTCCAGTCATATATTTGGGTGCCAAAAAGCAGTATTTTCCAAGGTGAGTTATTGAAAATCTCATATAATTCGAATATGTAGACTACCTGGTGTTCATTGGAGATTATACCGCCAATATAATAGTACACAATAGAAAGTGCAATGCTGAATCTCTGTTATCCTGTGAAATTTGTATTGCTAGTGCCTGTTTTTGTAGTGGATCATATATTGTTTAGGGCCAGTCATCAAGGCCATCCAGAGGATGGGAGAGGTTCTAGAGAAGTCCTGGAGGTGAGCATTGTAGGAGGTAACGAGGAGCAGAGGTCTTGGGAGTAGCGGAGTGGATGATTTTGGTCACAGTTCGAGATGAGTTTGGTGATATAGATGGGGGCAGAGTTGTGGATGGCTTTGTATGTTGTAGGTAGTATTATGAATTTTATACGTTGGGCTAGTGGAAGCCAGCAAGCAGGCAGCCAGTTCCAGTTGCTTGTTCAGCTATCCAGGAATTGGATCCTATTTCCAGGTAGCCTACAAAAAGTAGATTGGTAGTTCTACTGACTTGTTCTTCCTTCTCAGTAGATAATGTTCTTCTGGCAATGATCACAGTAGAATTCTTTTAATTTTTAGAGACCTGACCTCACATGACTCAAATTTCAGCCCATTCGTGCAAAAAATGGACATCATTTGAGCCAGGGGTGGCCTTGTCAGCACTTCCCATCTTGACTAACTTTCAATAGTAAAATAGAAGGAGCTGGTTGGAACATTCTCAGCCAAACGGTGATTGTGACCAATGAGATACAGGCACTGCTTGGGTATTCTGGCAACCACTTCTTCTAGCAAGCAGGAGAGATTCCTTTATAAATGTTAAGTGTGGATGGGGGAATCTATTGATTCCTCTTGTTCAGCTCCATGTTCTTAATGTGTATGGCTAGCCTTAGACAGCAATGCAAATAGAGGAGTATGACAAAGTATTTATGGAAACAGGATAGCCCAGTTATAAACGTAGGGCATTCATTTTGGTATGGTGCCTTTCCCTCTGACGACATTGATGGCTTTTAACTTTAAAATAAGCAATGGCTTTCCTTTACTATACCCCAAGCATAGCTCTTGGTAAGCTGTGAAAAGCACTGAACCAAAATCCTTAAAAAAAAATAAATAAGTTGGAGTCCTGCCTTTGATGCTCATGATCGTTTCATGTCCATAAAAACTGTAGCAATATAGTAGAATGTATGGGGTGTAAATTCCTTTACTTGCTTACATGCAGATGTGTGTGATAAGCATTTGAGTAATGCCCTTAAGTCATATTAGTCCTGGGAACCTTCTGCATACGCAGGCTGATAAAATGAAGATGCTGCAAATAGATACTGAAAATATGTGTGATTACACAGTGAAAGTAGAAGGAAATTTTAGAACTGACTTGCGAGGAGGAAAAGGTCTTCCTTTGCTAGTCTAATTGTGCTCAGCACACACCACCCCACTACCACCACATTTTTCTTTTGCATTTTGAACCTTAAAGCTTAATTTTTTTTTTCCACATTATAAAGAGTAGCAAAGGGTTAAAAAAGCTGTTGGGTTTTTTGCCATCTGTATCCTAAACTGCAGCTAAAGTCTACATTTAAAAATTGTGAGCAGGCAGAAGCATAGTCTTCTTTTAACCACAAGCCTACCGGGCACTTATACCCCCTTCCTGCCCAGGCCAATTTCCAGCTTTCAGTGCTGTCGCACTTTGAATGACAATTGCGCGGTCATGCAACACTGTACCCATATTACATTTTTATCATTTTTTTGTGACAGAGCTTTATTGTGGTGGTATTTAATCACCTCTGGGTTTTTTATTTTTTCTTAAACCAAAAACCACTGAAAATTTTAAAAAAAAAGTTTTTTCTTTTTGTTATAAAATTTTGTAAATAAGTGATTTTTCTCCTTCACTGATGTGCGCTAATGAGGCTGCAGTGATGGGCACTGATAGGCTGCACTGATGGACACTGATAGGTGGCACTGATACATGGCACTGTTAGGCGGCACTGACTGGCACTGTTAGGCGGCACTTGACTGACACTGTTAGGCGGCACTATGTTCACTGATAGGCAGCACTGACTGGCATTGATAAGTGGCACTGAGTGGCAGCACTGTTAGGTGGCACTGACTAGCATTGATAGGTGGCACTGATGGGTGACACTGAAAGGCAGCTCAGGTGGGCACTGATATGTGGCATTGATGTGCACTGGTAGGCACTGATATGTGGCACTGATGGGCACTGGCACGAGGCACTGATGAGCACTGACACAAGATACTGATGGACACTAACAGGTGGCACTGCTGGGGCTACACTGATCATCAGGGCACACTGATCATCACTGCCCTGATGAACAGTGTACACGTCCCCTCCGAGGAAAGCCGATTACCGGCTCTCCTCTCCTCACGAGCTGTCAGCGTGACAGCTCGAGTGGAGAGAAATGCCGATAACCAGCATTTCCCTATTTACATGTGATCAGCTGTGATTGGACACAGCTGATCACATGACTGAGCCGACATCTTCGGCTCTTTCCGTGACCGGTGATCCGAGGGACACAGCGCACCGCCGATTGCCGCGCTGCGCGCTCCCTGAGCCGCACATGCGCGGTGAGAATGGGAGGACGTCATATGACGTCCTCCCAGAAGAGAACCACCTTGCGTCCATCATATTACTATATGGCGTGCGGGAGGTGGTTAAATATGTACACTGTGATATGCATGCACAGCTCAGTTAACATTCTGGCATGGTAGCTTTCTGCCAAGATGGTACATGTGCAGAAGTTGTATCATCCGCACTTGCCAATCAAGATAGCTGAGGAGACCGGCGCCCAGGGAAAAATCAGGGGATAAGAGGAGAAGGTGCCGGCGAGGGACCCTGCAGGCCTCAGGATGGTAGAGCGAAGGTAAGTATTGTGTTAGGTTCTGCTTTAATAGATTTTCCTTTGCTTCCTACCCTGATACTCAACGGGAAGTAAGGGATGTAAGAGAGATCCCTGTTTAGTCTGCTAACATCAGAAAAAAAAACATGCATAGATGGAAGGAGCACCAGACCAAAAAGAGTCCATATTCATTTATTGAAATTGTGTTAAAAGACAGTCAATGCATTTTGAGGGTCAAATGAACTTCCCCTTCATTAGGGCTTCATTGGTTTCTTGTTTTGACTGCTGATGCAGGTACTGCTGGCCAGGAATCCTAATCCACAGATTCAAACAGGGAAGCCTTCACTTTGAGTCCTCTCAAGGTTCTCTATAACTGAAGCCCTGATGAAGGAGGTGGGTTCCTTCTATCTCCTGGTTTGGTGATCCTTCCATATTTGCACATTTTTGTCTGGTAACCTGCTGGGGTAGCCTTGTCTATTGTGAGCAGCCTAACCTGAGCCAGTAAGCTCTCACTACCTTGTTTAAACTCGCATCAAAGGCCCAGCGCCTCTTGGATGCCCTTTTTTTTTCATTGTAGTCTATCATGGGAACAAGTGTCCCCATTGGAAGATTTCCCCTTTGTTCTTGTTCTGGTGCCCACTCGCAATTTTGGATTTTCCCCACTTTCATGTCTGGTGACATTGGTGATCAGGGAAATTTACACATACTTTAAAGTATCTGTAAAGTCAAACTTGCCTCATGGAAGAAAACATAAGAAACTCTCCATAAATATATTTTTCTTTAATTTATCCCCAAACACCTGACTGCTTGGTCCCCTTATCTCCCCCAGCTCCAAGGATTGGGGTTGGAGACTGACAAGGTCTCAGGCTGTAGGACAGGATCCAGGGATGACTGGCATCCCTGTATGCTGGCTGTGTAGGTGGAATTATATCAGCGGGAATCTGACTATGGCAGTACAGGCACGCCGTAAGTTGGCACAGCATCCAGTATTTTCTAAGCAGGAGAAAAGAGACAAACTTACCATGCTCGGATGGAGCTGCTTCCCTGTCTAGAATAGTCAGAAGTAGGAAGGGGATGTCTTTGATCACCAGTTACTTTGCAGTTTTTTATTTACTTAAATGTAATTACTTTTAGCTTAGTGAGAAACAAAGGAAAGCCATACCCAACATTTCAGTTTAGGGGTTTACATTGTTGTGTCCAGGTGCACAAGGGTATACAAATAAGAATCCCTTTATGTCCTGAAGTCAAAAATTATTTACAGCCAAATTTTTTTTTTGTGGTTTTTAGATAGATTAGGGAAGGGTCCTGTCAAATTTTATTGCTAAATGCAGGGAACAGCCAGCTTTTTAAAAAAAAAAAAAAAAAAAACGGCATTTTACTGAAGCTCCATAAAAAAGACCTCCTTTATGGAACTTCAGTAAAATACTGGATTGGAATTTTTGGAGTGCTGGCGAATCTCTACATTTGGCTTCATATGGCACCTCCGTAGGCCATGCACCCCATAGTCTTATTGGCAATGGATAAGAAATCATTGTATAGATGTAGGAGGTCTGTGTGAATGAAGCCTTAGATTTTACCAGAACAAGAATAGAGGGGAAATCTTCCTGGGGAGACACTTGTTCTGATGACAACTTAAAGGGAGTATCCTAATCATTGAGACCCTTCCACCTCCTATGGCTTCTCAACAACACGAAGTGAAAAGCAAATCTCTCCAGCGGGAAACGAGCAGCCATAAAATACTTACAGGGGTTATAGTTCTCCTCTAATCTGTCAATAAGTTTGGGCCTTGGATACATTTCAACTAAAAGGCTTTGTATAAAGTAATTTACATGGACCTAAGGACTGGTTCGCAACAGCAGCAGGCCGGTGCTGATGCACTTTTTCCCCCTGAAGTTTATTGAAATGACACAGTGACATTTCTTTCAGTTCTGTTCACTAGACAACACACCGCAGTGAAGCGTGCTGTACTTTTTTAATGCAGTGGTGTGAACTGACTAATTGTACACAAGGCAGAATGCCTCGTATATGCATTGGCACTGCGCTGGGCAAAGCTGCCCAACAGAGCCAAAATGCACCCGGTGTCAGCAGGCCCCTAACTGTTTCCTATTAAGCTTTGTTAAAATGGGCCCAAACTGGGTTCCAAACCTAAGCTATTTCATACCAGATTCTCCACATCCCCACCATTTGCTCTGTCCTATTACCCAAGTTTCTAATTATCATATGTCAACAGCTCTGGGCTCCTTTCAGCTGCTGGTACCGAGCACAGCTGTGGAGGCGGCCATAGTCTCTGTCAATGGGTGTCATTCAGGCTGAGCCAGCCAGTCGTCCTCTGTCTGAATACAGTTTTTGCCCTTTGACAGAGAATATGGCTGTATTTGCGTATGGACAGCTGGAAGCAGCTTGGAACTGCTGACAGGTAGGTATAGAACCACCTTCTCACCAGTTTAGGTCATAGTATACAGCATATAGTATAGTGGAGGGGTGTAAAAAAAAAAAAAATAAGCTGAAGATCAAAACATTGTGTAAATGATGTAATATTGTCACGTATGTTACATTCTGATGTAAAATCTGTCCCCATGCTTGTGTCCATATATTTTAAACCTTGAAATGAAAACCTTAAAGAGGTTGTAAACCCCAATGAGTGACTGGCCTTGGGTGATGCACAGCAACAAATCCTCCTACATAAGATGTACCTGTTTTTTCTGCAATCTTCTCTTCTCTACATCCATTCAAAGAAAGCTTGTCTAAGGGGTGGATTGCTGAAATTACACACTGCAGAACTTGGAGAGGAGGAGAGCTCTGAGAGCTGATTGGAGGAAAGAGACTCACCCCCCCCCCACCCCCCCCCCCCAATAAAGCTCACAGGTACAGAGCTGAGGCTGTCAATCTGCTGGAGCTTCCTCCCCTGTCACCATTTTTCTTCTGGTGTCAGGAAAACTTGTCTGAAGAGGCTCATGCAGATAGCAGAGGAATGAGGCAGCAGACAGAAAGGACACTTAGTGCCCTGGATTGAGACAAGTATGCGCTATAGAGGGATATGTTTTGTTCATATTTCATGTCTGAGGTTGACTTACACTTTAAAGCTGAACTCAAGGATATTGGAAAATTCTCCCAGTTGGGATGCACCCACAGTGCAAGGGTTCACTGCGCGTTAAGGTCTAGGAGGCATGGAAGGGTAGATTTACTTACCTGATCTTCTGATCCTCTGCGCTGCTAGACCAGTCCTTGTTTTTGTCTCCTCCACTGTGTTCCTGATCTCATCAAGACCGATGCAAGGACAGGCCACTGCTGGACCATTATGGAGTGGAGGATCAAGTAAATAAAAAAGCCTCTCTTCTCCCCTAGAATCAAAGAACTGGTAATGCTTGCAGGGTGGGTGCAGTCCCACTGTAAGGGAGAATTTTTAAGCTTCTTGGAGTTGGGGTTTAAAATGACTTATCTTTTGTATGAATAGCCAAGTCTGCAGGCCTCTCTGTTCCGGCAATGGGGGTATGTAGACAGATTGTTCTATCAAAACATTTATAATTTGTTATTATTTAACACATGGAACATACTTTTAAGGACATGTATTTGTCTTTGTGAACTGGGTCTGAGATCACAGGCTACTTCAGGCCGTTGTCATCTTGATGAATCTCTGTGAATTCTGCTCAGTTCAAATAGACAAAATACCACCTACTTAATGCAATAATAAACATTGTACTCTTTGTAGACAGAAGATAGAAATAGCATCACTTATGACACTCATCAGCAGGAGAACCGTGGAGAAGTGATGAAAGATAATGGGTTTATCTTGAGATTGCAGACCACCCACTGCCTGACTCTGCAGCGAGATGGTGATGTGGTCTGAGGCTCACCGAGAATGGTGCGATGGAACATGCTGGTATCTGTAGTCTAAAGGCTGTGCGTGTGCTTAGATCAGATTTTATATCTTTATGTTCTTTGGATCTGTAAGAATGGCAAACAAAATGCATATGACATTACTAAAGGTAGTTTTGCTGTTGAAGGCAATATTAACCTATAGGCAGGGATTTTTAATCTTCAATAAAAGCTATTTTAGTGTTCAGATTTAAAAAATATATGTTTGAGATTTTTATCATTGCTGGGATTATCTGTTTCACATGGCATATAGCCAGTGTTAAATATACACTTGAAATGAGAGCTGGTTTACTACATGGTCTCCAACCTGGAGAATGGACAACGGAGGAGTAGCAACAACTTGCTGTGTCATCTCTCCTACTGTCAGCATGTCTTTTTCAGCACATCTGCGTCATGCAGCTTAGTCTGACTGACTGAGAGTATGGCCTCTCCTTTTCCCAGTCTGAGTTTTCTTGCAGTGGTTCCCGACCTCATTCCTCAACTACCCCAACAGTAGTGATGGACCGAACACCCCCCTGTTTGTTTCGCGGTTTAACATTTGAACCCAACGAAAACTCAACTGCAAACGTCAAACCGGGACAATTCACTAAGCGGCATCCTACCGCATCAGAGTATGCGGTAAGATACCACACAGCCACTAAAATGCTGCATGAGTTTTTTTTATTATTAAGTCGTGGTATTTTAGTAGTGAAAACATTTAATATTTCAGCTGAATGTAAAAAGAATTGCCAGCGATTAAAATGTTTTTCTTTTAATGGCGTGCCCCCCCTCCCCCCCCATCCATACAAAGTCCTTCCTGTCCGATATGGGTTTTGAAGGTAACCCCCATGCCAAAAAATTTTTAAGAAGTGTCCCCCCCCCCCCCCCCCCCCCAAAATCCATACCAGACCCTTATCCGCACATGCAGCCCGGCAGGTCAGGAGGGGGGGGGGGGAGAGAGAGTGAGTGATGATTCCCCCCCCCCCCTCTTCTGAACCATACCAGGCCACATGCCCTCAGCACTGGGGGGCTCCTCCCCCCACAAAGCACCTTGTCTCCCTTTTGTTGATGACAAGGTCCTCTTCCACGGTTGTGGGGGTCTGCGGGCGGGGGGGCTTATCGAAATTTGGAGGCCCCTTTTAACAAGGCGGCCCCCAGATCCTGGCCCCTCCCTATGTGAGTGAGTATGAGGTACATGGTACCGCTACTCATTCACAAAAAAAAAGTGTAATCTGAAAAGACGGTCATTGACACGGCCTTTATTAAAAACAAAAATGAAAAAAAAATGTCCCCCGAAGTAGATCCAATTTTAATCACGATGCCCGCTGCCACCACCGACCCGAAAAAAAAAAAAAAAACCCTGCTCCACTCTCAACACTGGCTCCTGCCATCTGACAGCTGCGCTGGCCTGACAGTTCTTAAATATCAAAGAGACAGGGACCACCCGGTGGTGTCAACTGAGTGACCCTGCCCCCTTTTGACATCATGCGCTGTGATTGGCCAAAGCATTGCACCTGACCTGTGATCAGGTGCATTGCTTTGGCCAATCACAAGCACTGTCGGTGCAGTGCATTGTAGGGCATTGTGTTCGCCGAACACATGAACGGCCAATGTTCGAGTTGAACTTATGTATCAAGCCCAACAGTTCTTGACTTCAGTATTTCCTTCACTTTGCACAGGTCTTTTAATCAAGGCCATGCCTTGGTATTTCTGATCGCTATTTTATCTAAAGCTATTTACCAAAACATGGCCTGTTGGGGGTACTTGATGATTCAGATTGGGAACCACTGGTATAGGGGATTAATTGAGGCAGATATTGAAAAAATACATTTAAAAGAGAATTCCGGGCTCCTAGCTACACCAGCTTGGACCACTGTAACTATGTACAGTATATACCAAAGCTGGCCAATGCCCCTGGAGGCTGGAAATCCCTGAAGTATACACTGATACTCCAATGGCTTCCACTTGCTTCCGGGTCCAATTCTGAGCGGGCAGCCTGATGCATTGTGAATACATGATGTCGACCATTCAACATAGGTGCCATTCAGAGAATGCTTTGCATATCCTGAATGAATGCAAAGTGTTCTATGATTGGAGGAGATGGAAAGAGTGACGTCACTGGCCCACCTCTCCACTTTGTGTAATTTAGGTGCAAAGCATTCTCTGAATAGTGCCTGTTCTGAGCAGTCGATCTGCATTCGCAGTGCATCAGTCCAGCATCTCGGGACGGGACCTGGAAGCAAGTTGAGATCACTGGAGTAGCTGTGTCTACTTCAGTGATTTCCAGCTTCCAGGGGCATCGGCCAGATGTGTCATATACATAGTTACATTGCTGGACTCTGGACCAATGTAACTATGTATAACATGCCGATGCCTGGAATTATTCTTCTTACTGAATAGAGAACTACATTGCAATATCGCTTCATTTTCTGCCCACATATAAGCGAGTTGCTTGGTCTTCAAGCCTGTTTATCCAGGTTCATGGCTAACTGCTGAGGTAACATATTGGTTGTTTTGTCGGCCTCTAGGTATGGTTGATATGCACTTAAACAAAATGTGTTTATTTTTCCAGCAACAAGCTCCACGAAACTGGAAGACTTGAGTTATCTGGACGTACAGAGAAATGCTCCTCTACGCACCTCCATCCGAATGCCCTGGCATAACACAGCAGGAACACGTGTGCAGCAGGAAATTAAAGGTAATGAAATCTCTACCTTTTACCCTTCAACCTGGATGTACAAATGGGCCTGCATGCCCTGAGGAATCTGTGGATTAAGGCAGTTTATTTTGGATTAAACCAATTAGACCCTGCCTTTTGTGAACCTGCAAAGCAGTTGCCTTCATTTCTTTGCATATACGAGCAAATGTGAATTTCTGCTTGAAACTGGGCAAATCATTGGATCTCCACAATGTTGTCAAAACGGCGTCCTTTGAGCTGGATCTTCATCTTTGGGAAGAGGGCATTTCAAGGGTTGAGCTCATTGAAGGTCTTCCTGATCTCTCATCGTCTTTCAGTGATGTTCTTCCACTCTTGAAGTGCGCATGACAATCAAATCACCTTGAACGACTCATTGCAGCATGGCAGTAAACTTACCGAATCATGTCGGATGTCTCTTTGGCAGCTTTGCGCTGAATTTCACATTTGCTTTTTGTTCTAATTTGATGAAATAGCAGATGTGGTAACACACGTGGGGTTAGAAGAGCACCAGTTACATAACTCCCAATGTACACAGAACGATGTCTTTTGGCACACTGACTTCTGAAGATTGGTGCTCCATGTGACTATGCATGCCGCCTGGCGCTGCCATCTGTTGACATGTTACAAAACTAGTCCTGAAACTTTTTGATACCACTTCATAACAAATATTCTTAAAGCCTAGCTTTGTGAAAAATCTATACTTTCCCCATCCTATCTTCCTAACCCTTCCTGCCAACTGGTAAATTTTCCTCACCTGCTGAAGCCGGTTATACTAACCTGAGTCCCCATGTAGGTCCCTTGCTGACACCATTTCTGTCTGTGGGGACTGCTAATTCAACATAGCGTGCTAACCCCTTGCCGTTTGGTCCACATCAGTAAGGCAGTGCTGTGTACACATGATCATGGCTTCAGGTAAGTAGAAAAGGGGATTTAGAAAAGTGGTTTTTCTGTTGTTTTAGGTTTTTTCAATCACAGCGATCAGATTCAAGGCGTGAAGAATGGCAGCATGTTTGTTCTTTATGTGAATACATTTTTATCAGCAAGTGTCATCGCAGTCATTGATGTTTGCTTTAAATGAACTTCTGTAATTTGTCTCCTTTTGGTCTGTTAACTATAACATTAAAATATTTTCTGTCTGTCTGCTAAGTGGAAAAAATATCGTGATCCTGCTAGAAATCCAGTGAGCTGATAACTTTCTGTGCTTTCTGCCTGTGCTGCACTGTTATCAGCTTGCTCCGAGCTCTCCCTATGCACTACAGAACACCTTCCTCCTAGGTGTCAAAGGAAAAAAAAGCCCGAAAAAAATGTTTGCCCTGCAAAATGCATTGGATGTCTTATATCTTCCAAATTTCTTAATTTTATTGGCTATAAATTATTACAGAATTTTAAGACATCCATCAAATGCTATCTTTGTTGATTTCACTTGGATTCTCAGGGGAGACGTTTATGGTGTTGTTTTTTTTTTTTGGGGGGGGGGGGGGGCAGGGGACAAATTAGTATTGTGAATCTAGTACCTCACACCTACTTCTCTTCAGAAAAAAAAAAGCTAGTGCAGTCACCAGATTTAAAGTGTTAATAAATCCACAACAGTAAAATCAGTCTGATAATTCAGGAAAGCATGCTTGTTATACTCACTGTGGAACCTAAGGGGTTAATCTGACTTGTGTAAAAAGGCTGTTTGATCTTGTCTTCTCTGCCCCTCCTCTTGTTCAAATGTGCAGGCTGATAAGACAGACAGAATCTGCAGCCCTTTTGCACTTGCTCAGTTTAGTGTGTATTGCTAGAGAGGTTTTTTTTTTTTTTCTTGGGAGAGTGCATGTGATCAGCACAGGGCCAATCAGCACTGGTCAGACAGAGGTCAGGGGTTTTGCTTCCTCCTAGAGCAGAAAGAAAACTCCTCCTGCAAGCTTTAACCATTGCTCTGCTGAATTCACAAGACTGCTCTAACTGCTGATTAGAAAAGGTATTTAGCAGTTTATATTTACTAAAATAATTACATTTCCATTTTGTGTGTACTGTGAAGACCAAATATAGTGAATGCAGGGTCCTAGTTTTAGTAACACTTTAAGGGCTCGTTCATACTTGGCTAGTGTCTAACTCTTGCCAAATGTCCCTATAGTGTTTGACAGGTGTTTGGGGAGCGTTTTTAATGCTCCTCAAATGCTCCCCAATCGAACTATGCGTGTTTTTGAGGCGTTGAATAGGCATTAATGCCAAGCATTAAAACCGCACCGCAAATGCCTATAATGAAGTTTAATGGTATTAACACTCCGCAAACCCATCGTAAGCCAGGCATTTGAGGAGCATCACCATAGACTTGAATGGGAGGGTTCAGCTCCTCCTGACTCAACATGTGGTGTCAATTTTGACACAACGCTAAGGCTTCAGTGTGAACAGCACTGTGTGCTGCCATGTGTAGAATTATCATAGGCGTTTGAGGAGCGTTAAAAACGCTCCCTAATGCCAGCTAACACAGCTAGTGTGAACTTAACCACTTCCTGTCCGGACACTTTTTCCCCCTTCCTGTCCAGGGCAATTTTCAGCTTTCAGCGCTATCACACTTCGAATGACAATTGCGCGATCATGCAATACTGCACCCATATGAATTTTTTACCATTTTTTTTAGACAGATAAAGCTTTATTTTGGTGGTATTTATTCACCGCTGGGATTTTTATTTTTTTTTTACTATGTAAATGAAAAAGTCTAAATATTTTGAAAAAAAGTGTTTTTTTTTTTTTATACAATTTTGCAAATAAATAATATTTCATCATAAATCTTGGCCAAAATTTATTCTGTTATTTTTTTTTAGTAAAAAAAAAAAATCCAAATTGGTTTATAACCAAAAAGTATAATTTTTAAACATTTTTTTTTTTACATTTTTATTTAATTTTTTTTATATTATTATTTTTTTATTTTTTTTTTTTTTTTTACATACTGTTACCCTAGCAGTACAGTATCACCATGGTGACACTGTACTACTTGTGGGGGGTGATGAAGATTTTTTTTTTTTTTTTTTTTACACTGATTGCTTTTACACCCATATAAGATGTAAAAGCAATCATTTCTCTTTCTCTCTGTCTGCATTCTTGCAGTCATTGAGAAGTACTGAGTGAGCTGTGATTGGTCACAGCTTGTCACATGGTACAAGGCTGTTGTGAATGTACCATGTGACCTCTGTGATCATTCACAGATTTCACACATAGTAAGCAATGATGTCACAAGTGACATCTTGCTTACTACTTTGCATGTGATCACTGAATCGCCAATCAGTGATCACATGATCGGGACCTCATACAGAGGTCCCGTCCGACGATCGGTGTTTCACTGTGTCACGGCGGGCACCGAATCGTGGTGGAACGGCAACCCGCCCCTGGACTGCCACCACCCTGCCGTTTATAAACAGCAGGCGGACGGCAAGAGGTTAAGGGTTTGTAAACTCCAATATATAAAATTTTGTGAGCTTAGATACCTTTTAAAAAAAGACTAATGCGTCGAATAAAATGTTTCAGCCAAATTCATAAACATGCACATATTTTTGGGGTCAATTTTGATGGAAGTCAATTAATGGGCCAGTATGTTTTATATGGAAAGAGAATACCAGAGCATCTGGATGAAACCCACACAAATTCGACAAGAATGCACTTCTTTGCAGATAGTCTCCATTGTGGGAATCAGACCTATCCCCAAGACAGAAGTGCTAACCACATGGTAATGTTGCTGCCCATATTTAAAATAAAAAAAAGAAAAAAATGGATATTTTGCTGCATGAAAAATTTTTGAGGATTTAAAATGTTAGCTTGGCAAAAATGGGCTGAAATTATGAATTTGCACACTTCACTGTGCATTTGCAGTCTTCAAGGAATCTGGCTGCCTGAGCATTTTGCCCCTGTTGTCAGCCTTTGTCAGTTGTGTCATTTGCAGGAGCTTGATTGCATTGCCTCATTGTAAGTTAACTCTCGCTTGTCTGCTGTTGGCTGAAATGTTTTTGTGTTTGGCGATGTCTGGGAATGGAGGAGTTAACAGTTGGTTTCTTGTTTTTCTCCACTTTGCAGCACGCTTTGTCCCCTACAAGCCACAGGACATTCTCTTGAAGCCGCTGTTGTTTGAAGTGCCAAGCATAACAACGGACTCAGTGTTTATTGGAAGAGGCTGGCTCTTTCAGGAGACGGAGGAAAAGATGAGAAGTTCAGAGCTGCCGGACAACCGCGGAGTAGTAATTGTTGGCTCCGTTGGCTTTGGAAAGACGGCGATCATTTCCAAGCTGGTGGCGCTCAGCTGTCACGGGACCCGTATGAGGCAGATTGCGTCTAGTAGCCCTTCTTCATCTCCTAAGGGTAATATTATATGATCTCATGGAGTATCGAGCGTCTTTAAAAAGAGAGTGCCATGACTATGTATAAAATATATTTCATTTGCTTTACATTACTAAAACATAAAATGCAGTTCAAGCCAACTATTAAAGCTTAGCACAGCTAAATTACAAACAGAAATATTAGCACAAGGGACATAATTTGTAGTCAAGTGAGATGTGTCTTTTGTGTTGATTCCTCTTCTTTTAGCGAAAATCTTCCTCTGTCTTACCCCACTACCAGCTATAGCTTCTATGAATGGAGACAGAGGAACTATCAATCATCTGCCTACCCGCCCTCCATTCATTATTGTGTTCCATTCACAGAACCTGTGGTACAGCTTCTATGAATGGCATAGTCCGGCTCTCTTGATTGAGAGCCTGTAACAGCTCCTTAGTTGTTTTAACCCCCTCCACATTGGAATATTGCATGGGGCTGGGCAGGACGGAGGAGGACAGGAATCGGCACAAGGGGCATATCTAAACCTAACTAACCTATGCTTAATTAGTTAATTAGTTGTCAAAATGGCCCCTCCTAACTCCTATGCTAACTAACCTGTGTAAAAAAAAAAATAAATAAAAGTACCTATTTTTAGCCTGCTCTGGTCTGGTCACATGATACTGTTTCAGCCAGTGGCAGCTGCAGGGGAGAGGAAGCTCAACAACAGCTGGGAATTCCAGGAGCAGTAATGTCACCTATAGACTTCCATGTCCATTGTCAGCACTCTCCCCTCTGTGGCTGACACACAGGGGAGCCACGTAACTGGACTGATGCAGGCTGAAAATGGGTAAATATACATTTTTTTTTAACAGGTTAGCAGGTTGTTGTTAGGAGGCGGGAAGGGAATATTTTTAAGGCTAGTTAGGCTGGAGTTTTCCTTTAACTATGTGAACACCCTCAAATACTATTAAAACACTAGGTGTAAAGAAAATAATAGTATTAGACTCTTGTGTGGAGGCAGTGGTCTCTCTGCAGCTTTCCACTCAGCAAAGCTTAGCCTACCTTCTAATTGGAGAGTGTTAGCAGGGACTGTCAGACCTCTGTAGAGGGTCCACTGCTTCCACAACAAGGGTCAAATTGTGCAGCATATGCAGGCAGGGGACATGCTTTTCTACCGAGGACATGTATGCTTTCCAAAGAAAATAAGAGGTAAGACTTTGCATACCTTTTTAGCTGCACTCGGAATGTAGCTGATTTTAATTGACAACCCAGTTTGGGCAAAACCATACAAAAAACAATGACGCTACTAGAAATCTAGTGAAATATTAACATCCTGCAGTGAGCTAACTGTGCTTTTTCTGCTGTACTGTAATTCCAAGCAGTGTTGTCAGCACTACCTGAGTTTTTCCTGCTGGTCTATAGGACACCTCCCCTTTCTTTTAATATGAGGGGGAGGTGTTTGTACCCCAACATGACAGTACTCAGCCCACATTTGTTGAAAGCTTCCTTTTAAGAAACTGTGATAGGCTTACAATGCAATTTGAATCAGCTTTTAGTGTATATATGTCAAGGCAATTGTTTTTTTATTTATTTTCTCAATACCATATTAGGCTGGCCATACAACAGTAGAATTTTCCTTGAAATCTTTTGTTTTAAGAAAGTTTATTTTTATTTTCTAATTCTTAGTTGGGTCAAATCGATGTTTGTTTTTTGACAATGATGAGAAAATTCAACGGAGCAGGGAGGATAATTTTGAAGGTTTTTTGAATAACATTTATCAGGTCATCAAATGTAATATGTACTTAACATTTTTATATAAATGTTCATTCAATAATCTACCAGTGTATGGCCAGGATTATGGTTTCTGCTAAAGTGTTCTCAATGAGTGAGAAACTCAAAATAAATCAGATGCATCTAATCCGGTCCTAAGATTTCATTTAGACCGGTGTTGAGACCTGTTCGTTCTTAACTGCTTTTTTTCTGTGTCAGCATCCACTTCAAAGCAGCATTCAAGCAGCCCATTAAAGTGGATGCAGATGCAGTGGGTGAACGAATCTGAACACACAGAGGGAGATTTACTAAAGCTGGAGCACTCAGAATCTGGTGAAGCTGTGCATAGTAGCCAATCAGCTTCTAACTTCAGCTTGTTCAGTTAAGCTTTGGCAAAAAAACCTGGAAGCTGATTGGTTTCTGTGCAGAGTTGCACCAGATTTTGCCCTCTCCAGCTATAGTAAATAACCCCCACAGTGTCTGTGTTTGGATGCATGCACCCACTCCTGCCCGCATGTCAAATTTTGATATGTGATTGTGTCTGTACAGCCACTGCGTCTCCATGCACTTCTATGGGTTGCCTGTGTGCAGCTCCGAGGTGGATGCACATGCAGCAAAAGGTGCCTCAGCATGGGGGAAGAGACTCAGCGTCCATCTGAATGAGCCCTAAGACAGCTTGGTGATGCTGAGTATGGGGTGTACAGTGCAAACTCCTGATGACATTTTTATATTTTGCCTGCTCAGACCATTTATATATTATGTTTCCCTAAACAAACCTTATTATAATTTTGCCAGGAATATCAAAAGCATTCTTCAAATTCTGAGTTATAGACTAAGGTTGGGGCATTCTACATTTAGTCAGCCGAGTGCTGTACAGGGCACGTATATAGTCAGCCTGCCATGTCCCGCATATCTTCGCTGCTGGACCGGCTTTCTGTGGTTAATTTTTAATACCTGGTTTTGTTGTGGAGAGGCACCTGCTTCTGCCAGGAAAAAGCTCATACTGCCTATAAACAGAAATTCTCCTTGGAAATAGGGTCTGCCTGCCAGATGCCAAGTCACACTTACCCTATTTTGTGATCATTTGACTGACACAGATGTTTGCCTAAACTTCAAGTCATCTGTTATATAGAAATTAAAAAAGGTTTTCAATGTTCAGTAAAAGAACTTAAACGTGTCACAATCTTGGGCAGTTCAAGCTGGGATGAAGATGCATAGGTAAAGGTTATCTTCAGTGCAAACAACATGTCAAAATGTTTGGTAGATCCAGAAATATAGGCAGTTGAAGTTGAATGAAAAAAATGTTAACATTTCTTAGAAAAGACAGGTATTTCCTGCTCTATTGTTGTTTTAACGTTGAAGAGGGCTGTGGGCCCTGCTAGAGTCTTTATGTCAAAAGTCAATATTTTCATTTAAAGTGACACTAAATCTAAAAAAAAAAATCCTAGTGTCTGGAATACATTTCTACATCATGACGTGCCTTTTTTTTTTTTTTTTTTTTTTTTTTTTTTTTTTTTAGAAAGTAAATTTTGGATAAAAATGCCTGTTGATCCTATTAGTGGTGGCAATGATCTGCAGGGTCCTCTACTCTGTGCAGCATAGCCATCTCATGTGTGCATGTTCTAAAGTTTGTCTTCGGTTTCCTCTCCCTTTGCTCTATTCAGATCCAAACAGCCTGGGTAGTGGGCATGATCAATCTGCCCTGCAGTAAATAGCTATTACAGGGGGACCTGCTGTCCATCAGACACTCTTTCCTGCCCTGTCATGTGGTGCTGCTGGTAATGTAGGCAGCTGGGTGCTTGACGGGGCAGGTAAAAGTTATTGACAGCAGCTCCTCCTGTCATTGCCTTTCTGAGCAGGACAGACTGAACCTGCCCACTGCCCGGACCACTCTGCTCCAAATAGTTTGATGCAGTCATGTGATCTGAAACTAAAGAAAAGAATTAAAGGTATTTTGGAAGTCTTTTTAAATACTTTACTTCATCATTTGATTTGGGAGTCCATTTCCAAGCTCATTGGTAACAATCGTGCTTTGATGTACAGACACTTTAATAGGGCTTGCAGTGATTCGTCCATCAGTATTATTTTATTGGTTAATGTACATGCTGCCAACAATGAACATGTTCTTAATGATTTATTTATTTTTGAACAGGTATTGACCACAGTCAGGAGATCCCTCTGTCACAGACATCACCACTGAGCCTAAATATGTGCGGGTCAACCACTATGAAAACATTGGGATCCAGAGGCAGTCCTGAGCACCAAAAAACAATGGACGAGTCCTTGAAACACCTGGCCTCAAAGGTTGCAGCTTTTCCTAATTTATATGTTATCCCCTCTATGAAAGATTTGTCACCATTGGTTATTTTACACGTTACATTTTTATATAAGCCTGTTGGCATTAATATGATCGCATTTACCCACAGGGAATGTGAGCATCGCTCCAGGTTGTTTCCTGTTCCACCCCCACTATCACACTAGCAGAGGCTGGCCCTGTTCATCACAGTCTTCATAGTATAGAAAGGTTTCTGGTTGGCTGCACATCCAGTAAAATCACCTTTATTGTAGCATTCTTCATAAAAGCATTCCATGGTAAAAACAAATGAGGGAACTGGCATAAACCGCTAAGTTTTTTCACACTAATCATTACCCTACAGGTGATTTTACTGGATGTGCGCCCAACCAGAATCTTTTCTATGCTAGCATTTACCCACACATGAAAAAATATACGCAATTTATTGGGACATTTTTGAACTCTTGTAACATGTGTTGCATCTGTAATAAACCTCTTGGTCTTTTTCTCTTTGCAGGTGGTTGCCTATCACTACTGTCAAGCCGACAACACATATACTTGCCTGGTACCAGAGTTTGTGCACAGTATTGCTGCCTTGCTGTGCCGGTCACATCAGCTGACAGCTTACCGGGACCTTCTCATAAGAGAACCCCATTTACAGAGCATGCTCAGCTTGCGCTCCTGCGTGCAGGACCCATTGACCGCCTTTAGAAGGGGAGTTCTGGAACCTCTGACAAACCTGCGTCGAGGTATGAAGGAAAGGAGTGATGGTGGGGAGATATGCTGCAGATTTCTCCATCAAATCAAGTCATCAGTTTTATCAACGTATAATTTACTGCACTACATTCAACTGTTTATATAATAAATAACAGGGTAATTTTGTTTGAAAAGGGCATAAGTGAAAATGCTTAGGAGAGTTAAGAAGCATCAATTTGATGCTGCTCCTTCAATGTTCTTCTGTGGGCTGGGACTAGATCGCATTTCCTTAGGTCCCCTTTACACAGTTGCTGTCTAAAGTGGTATATTAACGCTCATTACATTAAGGCAGCCCGTTTATTTGAAAGAGCTGCTGACTCACCACTACAGACCTAAAATTGAACCTGTTCTATTTTTCCCAACACATTACAGTACAATGCATTGTGTTTTGTGGTGTGCTGCAACACAACAGAGGTAACTTAGATTAGTTGTTTGGGGTGCATTCAAAATGAATGGCATGCAACATGGTACATGAAGAACCGCAAAGCATCATGAAAGTGTAAAGCTGACTGAAGCCAGCCATAGATCGAGTTTTGATCCATGTATGGACAGGCTGGTTGTACTGAAGTTGATCTCTCATTCAACTTCAGTACAGCCAGCGTATTTTTTTTTTTTCGTGTGATCATTGTATTCTGCCAACAGGGAAGTCTCCCTGCTAGCAGAATACGATAACGATGCAGGCGGGATTCCCCCATCAACTCTGTGTTGATGGGGGAATCAAGCAGTTGTCTTTCTTTCAACCCGTGGTTGAAGGAAAGAATATTGCATGATGTATGGCCAGCCTTTAAAGTATAACTAAAGGCAAAACTTTCTTTTTTTTTTTTGTTTTGGATAGAGTGGAGAGGTTTTAGAAAATGTGTCAGTTTTTATTGCTGTCTGTGTCACTATCAAGAAGATTCATCCTCTCTATTTGTCCTACCATTTGTTTTACCATTATCATTGAAGTTTTACCTTCAATGATGGTAAAACAAATGGTAGGACAAATAGGATGAGAGGATTTCCCATCTATTACTTTTCTGGGGACAAACCAAAAGGTAGGATTTTCTTTTATGAAAATCCCACCTTTTGGTTTGTCCCCAGAAAAGTAATAGATGGGAAATCTTCTAGTGGGGACACTAGATCTGGTGACCTTGAGTTTCCCAAGGAATTCCCTTAATTTGCAGCAGGGATTTCCTCTCTCTTCTTAGGCTATGGGACAGGAAGTGAAGGGAAATCTCCACAATGGGACATGGATGACAAATAAAAAATCAGACGGGTTATAACCCTCTCTTGCTTTATCCAAAATGAATAAAAAAGGTTTTGCCCATAGTTCCACTTTACATGCAGTTAGTCTTTAAGGAGTTTCAGGAGCCGAATATGCTGTCCCTTGGGTAAGTAAAAAAGGAACACATAAATATTGCTGCATCATTTTCCAGAAAGCAAAGTTTGTATGTGACACTTTTGCTATTCCATATTTTGGTGTGTATATTTGTTACACAATATGTAGAACTTCCCTTAACTCTGTCTGCTTATCTTCATCTCACCTGAAAACCTGCTGCATTACAAATCATCTAGGCACCCACAAGTCTATGTTATGTTCAGTCAAAGTAGTCTGATAGCATTCATTGCAGCAAAGCACAATCACTGATCAGATCAAAATTGTTAAAGTTCCGCTTTAGGTTGAAAAACACTTCAACTCCATGGGCTAAGTGCCACAAAATATGAATTGCAAAAGTGTTGCCTGTTCTGAATTTTGCTTTACTAATAAAGATTAAATCTGTAATAAATCATCTTGAGAGGATGCCTCTTATGATAATCTGATATTCAGTCTTAATAAAACTTCCATTTTGCAGAGGGAAAGATCCCAGAAGAAGAATTTATCATTTTGGTGGACGGCTTGAACGAAGCTGAATTCCACAAGCCTGACTATGGTGACACCATTGCCACATTTATCAGTAAAATCATTTCCTCTTTCCCATTATGGATAAAGCTGATTGTGACAGTGCGGACTAATTTTCAGGTATAGAGACTATGCACCTGTTGATCATTTTCTTTTACTTTGATATAAGTACAGCACCATTAAGACCTGAATTTCCAGTGACTGAGGTCAGAAAGAGGTTATGTATTTTTTGGGCAGTGCCAGTAAACTGCTGCGTGTGTGAGCATGTTGTTACAGATCTGATTTTTTTAAGCCAAACGACTTGGAGACAATGAAAAATGCCCGTTATAGCATGTAGTTTTTAAGGAACCCTAATAACTATAATATTCTTTCTTTCTATAATCTAAAATTGTCATGTAACCTAATTGTTCAATACAAATGAAAACCCTTAAAGAATCACTCTATCCAGAATCAAAAATTAGACTTTGAGATGCCTACATAGAGCACAGCCAACTTCCTTAGTCTTTCAGTTCTTCTTCCAAGGAGCAATGCCTAGTGCACTGCATTCCATTTTATTGGTAATCTGGTGATTCTGAAGCATTTTCTGTACTGCCACATGTGTACAGAAGGCCGAACATAAAAAGAAAGCCCTGCACTACTTGTAGAGGTCTTGACAGTTTTTGTAGCCTGAAAAATCCAAAAACGCTTGTTTCCTCTAGGGCAGGGGCAGGGGCGGACTGACCATATAGAAACTTGGGCACATGCCCGAGGGCCTGGGGTCAGTAGGGGGCCCCATGAGATGCCCCTGGTACCTTTTTCATAGGCTTTTTTGAGTTTGGGCAAGAACACAGGGGCCCCATGATCCCCTATTGCCCAGGGGCCCCTGTTCAGGGGTCTCCAAACATTCTTAACAAATGGCCAGTTTACTGTCCTTCAGACTTGAGAAGGGCTGGACTGTGGCCAGTGGGAATAGAAAATGTCCCAGCGTCAGTAATAATGCTCCATCATTGGGGTCAGTGGGAGGAATAGTCTTCCATTATTGGTGTCAGTGGAAGGAATCGTGCCCATGCTTGGTGTCTGTGGAAAGAATAGTGCCCTGTCCTTGGTGTCAGTGGCAAGAATAGTGCCCCATCCCTTGTGTCATTGGGAGGAATAGTGCCCCATCCTTTGTGTCATTGGGAGGAATAGTGCCCCATCGTTGGTATCAGTGGCAGTAATAATGCCCCATCGTTGGTATCAGTGGAAGTAATAGTGCCCCATCGTTGGTATCAGTGGCAGTAATAGTGCCCCATAGTTGGTATCAGCGGGAGTAATAGTGCCCCATAGTTGGTGTCAGTGGGATGAATAGTGTCCCATAGTTGGTGTCAGTTGGAGGAATAGTGCCCCATCGTTGCTGTCAGTGGGAGGATTAGTGCCCTATCATTGATATCAGTGGGAGGATTAGTGCCCCATCGTTGGTGTCAGTGGGAGGATTAGTGCCTCTTCGTTGGTGACTATGGGAGGAATAGTCCCCATCGTTTGTGTCAGTGGAAAGATTAGTGCCCCTTTATTGGTGAGAGTGGGAGGAATAATCCCCAATCACTGGTGTCAGTTGGAGGAGTAGTGCCCCATTGTTTGTTTCTGTGGCAGGAATTATGCCCCACTGTTAATGCAAGTGGGAGGAATAAAGCCCCAAGGATAAAGGCCACAGTTTGGAGACCACTGATCTAGGAGATCCTTTGAGTTGCTGTATTGTGTAGTGTCTGACCTCATGCTGTTCAGACTATTCATAGTAGTGCATAGTAGTAAAGTGGGCTTCAGAAGACACTGTATTCTATTTAACAGTGAAACTGATCAGGGATCAACAACGTATATCCAGCAAATAATGAACTTTTTGCTACTGTTCATTAATTTTATTCAATGCGTTTAACTGCAGCCAAATTCCAAGAGCTCCCTATGTGGTGTGGCAGTGTCTGTTTCCTGATATCTGTGCTGTTGAAATTTTCTCTGTTTTATCTCCAATTAAATTTAAACTTTCCGGGCAAGTTGGAATGTGGTTTCTGACTCAAAGCAACCCCTTGGTTTCAGTAGTTTTTGTTGTCAGGCTTTCTGTAATTGATAGAGCCCATTGAAATGAATGGGCTGCGCTACATGTAGCACGCAGTAGTGTGAACCAAGACTAAGGACTAGATCACAGTAGATGCAGTTCAGTGCGCTTTTTTTCTGCATCAAAAATGCATGCAGTGTTTTTCATGTATTCCAAGGGCCCTGGTTCATACTAGTGCAGTCAGTTTCAGTCCGTTTGCGTTGCAGAAAAAAAAGTAGAACATGCTGCATTTATTCCTGCACAGAACGATACTGGAACATAGCAAACTGCACCGGAACTCTGTGCGGTGTGAACTGTAAGCAAAAATGTGTCTGGAATGCATTCAGAGTGCATTTATGTAGTGTGAACTGGCCCTTAGGGCCCGCACACCAGTCTGTTTCGTTTGCAGGCAGCAGTTTATTTTGGGCTGCAGTGATGTATGCCAGGGTCAGTGTTATGCATGTTTTATTGCACCACACAGCTCCCTATTTTATTTCACTTTATTTGAAGTGTACAAAGTGACTCTTCATGTCACCACACAGTAGAGCAGTGCATTGTGCTAGCTGTGCAGTGACATGCAGTGCAATATTTTGCAGCATGTCTTACACCTCACTGCACCGCACCCCTGAGCTATGTTGCAGTGAGAATGGGGCACCTAAAAAGTAGTTCTCTTCTATGTGTGCTAGCAGTGACTAACAGGTCTTTAAACGCCACTGACCTCTGCACTGTTTGTTACATTCCACTGACCCTGACCTACTTACTATATACCTCTAAACTCTGCACTATTCCCTCCTGTGCTCTGCATTACTTACTCCTGACATCTGAGTTGCCTACTGCTTACCCTGCACTCTGCATTACTTACGCCTGACCCCTAAACTGTATCTTACATACTACTGACTCCTGAGTTCTGCATTATATATTACTGATCTCCCTGTTACATACTCCTGAACTATGCAGTACTTGCTACTGCCCCCTAAACTTTTCAAACCTTACATTTTGATGGGGCCATACCAGATTATCTCCTTAAAAAAAAAAAGGTGAGCCACAGGCTGTGACTTTTGATCTTTTCCATGTTGTTCCGGTAGAACTCCAATTCTCCAAGGTTGACTATCCCTATTCGAAGGCCATTAAATAGTGGATGTGTATGGATTATTTTTGGAGATTAAGGGTAGAGTTTAATGTGATGACTGGAGTGTACCCTTCAACCATATCCCTCACTCCATGTGCAATTCATTGGTAACACAATTCGTAGCATATGAAAAGGAATTTGTCATTTTCCCTTCTCGCTTATTTTCAAAACTGGGTTTATATCCCCAGAAAACCCCTGAATCCTTCCCAAGCAGGCAGACATCACCGCAAGGTATTTCCAGCAAAATAATTACCTTGCCAGAACAATCTATCTGGTACTTCGGTGTGTCAGTTTTTCTCTCTAAGATGCCATTATTATGGCCTTGCTGGTAATCCCACTTCACTTGCCAAAATACCTCTAAGTCATTGTTGATCCTGGCGGTTACATTACTTGCTCGTGTTTGTCTGCCAGGCAATTTACTAAATGCAATTCGAGGGAATGGAAAAGTGTTAGGCATTCTGGAGAGACAGCAGGCAAAATGATGTGGTTTTGTCACACGCCTGATGTTCAGCAGATTAATTTTTCATGTAGAGAAAGAGCTTGCCATCTGCCGGGCCCGAAAGCCAAAGTTTCATCTACCTGCAGCTCTGCAGCTGCTGATCAGCTGCTAAACTGGCGTCTCCTGCAAATGCTGGGCTCTGCAGTTCTTCTGCAGCTGCAAGGCATAAATTGCCTTTAATCATTGTAACCCATTTTTAGGAGCCTAACATTCTTTGTTCTTTTATAGTAAAATTTCTAAATACTAAGTATTAGGGAAACTTTAGGCAGTCTGTGAATGACCAACGCTATATAGATTACATGGCAGCTCTACTTAAATAGGAAACTCTGATCAAGGGTGGCATTTAAACATTGAATTGGTCTTTTTACTCCTTTGAAGTTGTTAGTAAAGGTGAAATTAGAGATTATCATTGTGTAAACCTATGTGTTGGTCATCCCCCATTTCATGTTAATGTTCTCCCTGTACTGTGCTCTCCATCTTCAATTTATTTTATTTATTGATTATTTACATCGTCTCTATATACTTTGCAAGACTTTAGAGACATCATTAAACTGTAATTTCTGCCTAACGCTAACTATTAAAAATATCCCCTCCCCCCTCCTGCTCCCTATCCTGCCTACCCTATATATGAGGGTGAGTCAAAAATGATCTGCACTCTAGCTGTAGAATTTATTTTAATTACCTTTTAAAAAAGACAAATACATAATTTTTTGACATAATCACCTTGATTTTCAATACAGTTTATCCATCTGTCAACAAGCTTTAGTATTCTCTTATTAAAAAATGTTTTAGGCTGAGCTGCGAGCCACGAATGCACCACTGTCTTCTTCATCAGAATTGAATCTTCATCCTTGTAGGGGTGCTTTAAGAGGACCATAGAGGTGAAAGTCCATAGGAGCAAGATCAGGATAGGGAGGATGCTGTTATCGGCAGTGGAAGGGCATCTGGCCCCTTCTTGATGGCTTGTGCAACCTTCCTTGAACTTCTCTATCCATTCATACACACTTCTTTGCCACAAAACACTTTCTTCATACTGCGCACAAAGTCTTTGATAAATAACAAAACCAGGTATGCCCTCTGACCACAAAAAATGAATCACTGCATGCTGCTCTCCTTTTGAAAAATCACAAGTGGGGCATTTGATTTTGCTTGACCACAGTTACAAATGAACTGACGTAACATCTTCCCCCCTGCACTGCAGTGACTGGGGAGACAGTATCCATGAACTGAAAGCGCTGATGAGACGGTGCGGCCAACATAAGCTTTAACATAACCGGAGTGTGAATCATTTTTGACTCGCCCTCAAAGAAATGTATACTTTTTTCAGTCTGCTCTGGTCCGGTCAGGTGATCCCTCGGCTCTTACTCCCATGTGTCATGGAGCGCTCGATAACTACTGAGAATTCTGGGAACAGTGAACATCACCCATAGGTTTCCATAGTCTTGCTGTTGTTGGTGCTCCCTCCTCTCCCTTGCAGCTGTCAATCACTGACATAGGGGAGGCGGAGCTGCGAGATCATGCAAGGGGAGGTGGAGCTGCAAAATCATGCAAGGGGAGGAGGAGCAGCAAAATCATGCAAGAAGAGGAGGAGCTGCAAAATCATGCAAGGGGAGGAGGAGCTGCAAGATCATGCAAGGGGAGGAGGAGTTGCGAAATCATGCAAGGGGAGGAGGAGCTGCGAAATCATGCAAGGGGAGGAGGAGCTGCGAGATCATGCAAGGGGAGGCGGAGCTGCGAAATCATGCAAGGGGAGGAGGAGCTGCAAGATCATGCAAGGGGAGGAGGAGCTGCGAAATCATGCAAGGGGAGGAGGAGCTGCAAGATCATGCAAGGGGAGGAGGAGCTGCGAAATCATGCAAGGGGAGGAGGAGCTGCGAAATCATGCAAGGGGAGGAGGAGCTGCGAAATCATGCAAGGGGAGGAGGAGCTGCGAGATCATGCAAGGGGAGGAGGAGCTGCAAAATCATGCAAGGGGAGGAGGAGCTGCAAAATCATGCAAGGGGAGGAGGAGCTGCAAGATCATGCAAGGGGAGGAGGAGCTGCAAAATCATGCAAGGGGAGGAGGAGCTGCAAAATCATGCAAGGGGAGGAGGAGCTGCAAAATCATGCAAAGGGAGGAGGAGCTGTGAGATCATGCAAGCAGGGCAGACTGAGAAAAGGTAAGTATACACATCTTTTTTACAAAAGGCAGCATGAGAGGGGAGGGCACATTTTGAAGAATACTTTATGCTAGGCAGGAATTCCACTTTAAGTATCCATGTTGTATCACTTTAAACACATCACAGGTTCAGAAAATAACTGTTGATGTACCAGAAATATAGGATGCTTTTGACGTGACATCACAAGTTTTCAGTGGTCAGCTCTGCTTAGCTAATTTCTAGTGGATTCCAAAGTGCTTCCCAAACAGATATAACAAAACACATTTACTTGAAAAACATCCTTTTTTATTGCATGCACAATTGCATTTTGGAATGTGTAAGAGACAGCGCACCCCCTTTTCTTCAACTAGTTGTTTTACATCTAGTATAATTTAGTGGATGCAGCAATCCTTATTTTCTGTTTTTGATAGCGCAAGGAAATCATTTGGTTTGTTTTTAACAAAACACATTGAGAAGACCAAAAGGGAGAAAATAAAAGGAGCTTGTTGGGGTTTACGTACATTTTAATATAAGGTCTCTCCACGCTTCTTAACTGAGCCTTTCCTGAGCCCTAAAACTAAGCTACCATGTAATTAACATGGTGTATCTCCCTAACTCCTAGTTAATTGAGTGGGGGAGGCATAGAGGAGATGGGCCAGCACAGAGTGTAATATGCCACTCCCAGAAGAGTAGAGGGCTATGATATGACAGAAGGGAGGGGACTGTATTAGGGAATTGGCACTTTCTGGGTGTCTATTCCCTAGCAAGTTTAGAGGTCCACTCCAAGCCAATAAAATGTTTACTATGTTAAGGAAAATGCTTCAAATAAGAATTTAAAATACTTGATTGTGTGCTTTTACATTCAGTTCTCCTTTTTATGTTGGTGATATTGTCTGTTGAAGTGGTAACATTTTCTGAGGTTAATGTGACTTTAACAAATGTGTACTTTTAACAGATCTCTCCTTTTTTTTTCTTTTTTAATTCCAGGAAATAACAAGTTCACTGCCCTTATCCAAGATTTCCTTAGATGATTTCCCAGAGAACAAAGAAATCTACAATGACCTGAGCGCTTATATACAATACAGAAACAACAGTAGCCAGGAAATTGCAAACAATATCTCTATAAATGGCAAAACAGATGCCAGCAGCATCAGTAAACTGACGGACCACCTGGTGACACGAAGCCAGGGCTCCTATCTCTACCTGAAGCTCACGCTGGACCTTTTTGAAAAAGGCCACCTAGTCATCAAGAGCTCCAGTTACAAAGTGGTGCCGGTTTCCGTGTCTGAGCTGTATCTGCTTCAGTGCAATATGAAGTTCATGACTAATTCCGCCTTTGAGAAAGCACTTCCTATTCTGAACTTGGCTCTGGCCTCATTACACCCCATGACAGATGAGCAGATTTTCCAGGCCATCAACGCAGGCTATGTTTATCCAGAACACAACTGGAAAGACTTCCAGCAGCGGATGGAACTTCTCTCATCATTTTTGATAAAAAGAAGGGATAAGACACGCATGTTCTGCCACCCATCTTTTAGGGAATGGCTAGTATGGAGAGCCGATGGAGAGAGTTCGCAGTTCCTGTGTGAACCACGGTAAGAAGGAATGGCATGTAATGATTTGTACACAGGAGGGCATATATTTACCAGATTACCTGGTACATGTCGGTATAATTCATTTAGTTTGACAATTAGAAATATTACCTATCGGCTTATTTGTTAGGGTGAGCTGTGGAAAACAATGAACCTCAATCAGAATTCTTTATTTTACTTAAGGACAGTAAACATATATTTATTTGTCTCTGTTACTTTACCTTAGACATCATTGTTGCTCCTTATATTCCTTATTAAAGAAGTAGTATCCCTACATACTAAGTGTGAATAGAATCTCCCAATGAATACATAACGAGGGCTGATTGATGGCACTAGTCTCTAGCAGAAGTCGTGCACTGTAGACAACCAACATCATTCAGTACAGCAGAGGGAAGGTCAGACCGAATTTCATATACAAGCACTGAGTGCTGGCAGGGATGTGTGACCAGCCATCGTGCTGACTGGCAGCATAGTATGTATAACGTCCTCCTCAGTTACGTGGATGTGCCTCCAGGAAGGTATACCAATGATGCTGGCGGGGCAAGCTGGAACACTGAAATAGATGGGTGGGGCAACAGTGCTGGCTATAGCTCCCCTATATGAACACCCACAAACTGGGCTTCAGCTTGGGGTGGAGCAACCGCCAGGCTTTTAATACCAGTGTGGCCACCTAATACAACAGAACCAACCACCTTAGGGGTTTCAGCATTTTTAAACTGTGGTGACACTACCCCTTTAAAGTGGAACTGATCTCAGAGTTGAAAGTTTGCTGTTATAGAGAACAATTTTAATTTCCCTAAATCAGTGTTTTCTTATCTCTTAGTTAAACTCCCTGTATGTTAATGGATAAGTTCACCTTTGGAACATGTTACATGTTGTACCTTTATATTTGGGGTGGAATGTGTAGCATGTTGCAGCTCCTGGCGTCTCTTCCCCCAATCCCCCCTCCCTGTGACAGCAAGTGGGGGATCTTCTCCCTACACCCGCTGTCACAATGTTAAAAAAAAGGTGCTCCGCGCACACATCCGCGTCATTCATTTAGAGACTTCTGTGAATGAATGAACTACATCTACCTTAACCACTTGCCCTCCAGAGGATTTACCCACCTTCCTGACCAGGCCATTTTTTGCGATACGGATCGGTGTTACTTTAAATTTGAAAATAACGCGGTCATGCAATGCTGCACCCAAATTAAATTTATGTCCGTTTTTTACCACAAATAGAGCTTTCTTTCACTAGTATTTGATTGCCTGTATTTTTTATTTTTTGTGCTATAAAAAAAAGACCACTAATTTTGAGAAAAAAAACTATATTTTTGACTTTTTGTTATTAAACATGTCCAGTAAAAAATGTAAAAAAAAATCAAATTTTGTCATAAATGTAAGCCGAAATGTATTCTGCTACATGTCTTTGCTAAAAAAAAAAAAAATCCCAATACGTGTAAATTATTTGGTTTACGTGAAAGTTATAGCGTTTACAAATGGCGGTATAGATACTTGATAGATAGATATATATAGATATATATATATATCTATATATATACATACACACACACACACACACACACACACACACACTAGTAATAAGCAACTTATAGCAGGACTGCGGCATGTATTCTGACACTGGGGGGGAAATGACTGTCACTGACATACCCAGTGACACCAATACAGTTATCAGTGCTAATACTGTACTAATGGCACTGGGCAGTAAGAGGTTAACATCTGGGGTGATCAAAGGGTTAACTATGTGCTGTGTGCTGCTTTAGTGTGTGCTTTACACTGTAGGCACACTGCTTTGTATGGTTCTGCTATGCAGAACCATACAAAGCAGTATGCAGTTGACAGATCTGTATTGTTGTCTCTCCCCCGTTGATAATACACGGCGATCACCGGCCGGGAACTGGTGATCAACAGGTGAGGCCGCCAATGCACGCCCTACCCGGAACACACACACACGTGTGTGTGTCTGTTTGCGCACCCCTGCCACCCTGTAGCAGTATTTCTGTATAGGGTGGTGGGAAAGCGGTCAAGTCTCTGCGGCCGGCGGCTTTGTAGTTCTCAAAATTACAATGGTGCTGGTGAGCGCTTTTGTAGTTCATTGTTTCTTCCTGCCATTCAGTAACTGCCTGCCTTTAGGATTGTACTGAGAGTCTGCAGGATCCTGGACATTGCACCCATGATCTGTTGATCGCGGATGCAATGCCTTACAGGTTACACGGTAAAAAAAATTCATGCACATTTTCTTACCTGCAAAAAGATGTGCATTTATTACTTTTTAGAAAAGGTGAACTTCGCCTTTAAGGATTTTATGCAATGGGAACGGCTACCTTCATTATTGATTCAGAGCAGCCAGTAAATCACTTCTAAAATATTAAGGGAAATCCTGAAAACTTGACCTGCTGGGGAGTGTCCAGCCCTAAACAACAGCTGTTCTTAACAACTAGCGGCAATACTTAGGCATGTTTTGCATCCTGTTTAAAATACATCTATTATTAGAGAAACAAGAGGTCCTCTGTTGCTGGCCTTGGTCTAAAAATGGTAGTTGTCTGATATTAAACATAAAAATGCTTGTTCTAGTCACTGACCAAGTATGTAGGAAAGCCATAAAGTCAGAACAAATGTCAGGAGTCCTTATCTGCATACTTAGCTCAGGTCAGCGACTTTAGCCGGCCATAGGTGGAGCAAATCTTGTCTGGTTCAGCAGGGACCTGCCGAGATTCAGTCCACCAATGGGCAGGCTGGTTGTACTTAATTTGATCCATCAGTTGACTTCAGTACAACTAGCTTGTTGGATTTTTTGCATGCGATTACTGCTGGCAGCTATAGCCACCAGCAGTGATCATTGTGTTTTGCCAGTAGGGAAGGCTCCCTGCAAGCAGAACACAATAGCGCTGCGGTAGGGATTCCCTCATCAACACAGTCACAGACAGATGAGTGGTTTTATAATCAGAAGATTGTATAATCTATTACTTGCTTTCGGGCCATATCACACTTTTGTGTTCCAGTGTGCTGCAATTACAGCACATTATAAAGGTTAGCACTAGGTATGCACCGAAATTTCAGTGGCTGTAACGTTTCGGCCGAAAACATCCCTTTCGGCCGAAAACATCCCTTTCGGCCGAAAACATCCCTTTCGGCCGAAAACATCCCTTTCGGCCATCGGCCAAAATGAAAATATAGCACCGATGTCTGTGCCGAAAAAATCCTTCCCCTCACCGTCGCCCGCTCGCCATCGCCGCCACTCAGTAGTTCAGCCTCACCTGAGAAACCATCGATCCTGGTGCTGGGCATAGAGATGAGTGAAGGAAAGATGGCCGCCACTCATCTCTATGCCCTTGGAGGACTGGAGTGATGTCACTTCCCAATCCTGCCTTTTTTTTAATTATTTTTTTAAAGCGCTAGATCAATACTTTTTTTGACCCAATGCTTTACACTGCAGAGGAGAGATATGGGGTCTTATTGACCCCATATCTCTCCATAAAGAGGACCTGTCACTAGTTGTTTCTATCACAAGGGATGCATGCATTTCTTGTGATCAGAATAAAAGTGATTTACCTTTTTTTAAAGGAACAGTGCATAAAAAACCCAAACCATTAAATAAAAAATAAAAAAAAAGTTTAAAGCGCCCCCATCCCCACGTTGTGGTAAATGCATACGTAGGCCATGCCCACATATGTTAACGGTGTTTAACTGCCTCCCGCCCGCCATATAAGGTAATGACGGGTGCAAGGCGGTTCTCTTGTTCTGGGAGGACATCATATGACATCCTCCCATTCTAACTACGCTTGCGCAGCTCCGGGAGCGCGCAGCACGGCGAACGATGGTTGATCACCAATCAACGGAAAGACCTGAAGATGTCAGCTCGGTCATGTGATCAGCTGTGGTGTCCAATCACAGCTGATCACATGTAAACAGGGAAATGCCAGTTATCTGCATTTCTCTCCTCACGAGCTGTCACGCTGACAGCTCGAGAGGAGAGCCGGTACTAGTCATTACTCAGAGGGGACGTGTGCACTGATCATCAGGGCACTGATGATCAGTGTGCCCTGATGATCTGTGTAGCCCCAGCAGTGCCACCTGTCAGTGCTCATCAATGCCACCTGCCAGTGCCACATCAATGCCACATATCAGTGCCTACCAGTGCACATCAATGCCACATATCCGTACCCATCAGTGCCACCTATCAATGCCAGTCCGTGCTACCCATCAGTGCTGCCGATCAGTGCCAGTCAGTGCTGCCTATCAGCGCCCATCAGTGCTGCCTATCAGTGCCAGTCAGTGCCCCCTATCAGTGCCACCTATCAGTGCCATATAGGAGTGCTGCCTTTCAGTGCCCATCTGTGATGCCTGTCAATGCCCATCAGTGCCATCTACCAGTGCCTCCTCATCAGTGCCAGTCAAGTGCCGCCTAACAGTGCCATGTATCAGTGCTGCGTTTCAGTGCCCATCTGTGCCACCTACCAGTGCCACCTATCAGTGTCCATCAGTGCCACCTATCAGTGTCCATCAGTGCAGCCTATCAGTGCCCATCAGTGCAGCCTATCAGTGCCCATCACTGCAGCCTCATTAGCGCACATCAGTGAAGGAAAAAAATCACTTATTTACAAAATTTTATAACAAAAACTAAGAAAAAAACCTTTTTTTTTTCAAAATTTTCAGTGGTTTTTGGTTTGTTTAGCAAAAAATAAAAACCCCAGAGCTGTTTAAATACCACCAAAAGAAAGCTCTGTCTCAAAAAAATATAAAATTTCATTTGGGTACAATGTTGCATGACCGCGCAATTGTCATTCAAAGTGTGACAGCGCTGAAAGCTGAAAATTGGCCTGGGCAGGAAGGGGGTATAAGTGCCCTGTAGGCGAGTGGTTAAACACACACGTGAGATATCGTCATGAACTTCAAAGCAAGAGCAATAATTCTCACACTAGACCACCTCTGTACCTTTACACTGCTAACCTTTAGAAATTGTTAAAGCATCACCCATGGAGATTAAGTACCGCAGTTTCACGCCATTCCATGAGTGTGCACAATTTTAAAGCGTGACATGTTGGGTATCTATTTACTTGCTGTAATATTCTCTTTCATATTTTACAAAAAAATTGGGGTATATATTGTTTCTTTTTTGTTTTTTTTAATCAAAGTGTATTTTTTTCAAAAAAAAATATATCTTCATTTTTAAAAACTGTGCGTTTCGGTTTTCGACCAAGTGAATTTTAAATTTTCGGTTTTGGCACCAGAATTTTCATTTCGGTGCACCCCTAGTTAGCACATTGCAGTGCCATTTATTTTGACAATGCAGCTTTGGCGAGTCCTCTCTCTGACCTGCTTGTGATCTCATTGTGACCTGGTTATTACCTCCCTTATCAGCTGCATATGAAGCTGCACAAGCATCCCTATGGACTAGTATGGGGAAAAGAGCTATTCAGATGCAAACAAATACCCATGTACACAATCCCTTACTAGCGCCTGCTCCTTCCAGTCCTTAAGATGTTTCCCATTACAGCTGTTCTGAGCTCATTTAGGAAATCCTTATGAATGAGCCTTCATGTGGCCTCTGAGGGCCCTTAGGAAGTCTTGGTGTCATCACCCGGCGTGATAGTGCCTTTTCCTGTAGGATGGATTTGCCGGTAGCAGACTAGTCAGGGATATCCAAGGAAGAATCCTAGGAGGTAAAATTTGGCAGCTGATTTCAAAATCCATAAAGTGAAACTAAACTTCAATTTATAACTGTTTTAATACTCATAAGGGAAATAAAGGAACAGCGCGGTATATTTTATTAATGTACAGTGAATGTAGGCTAAAACATATTGACATGCAGCTCTTTGATCTTGGCCTAAACAGTAATAGCATGATTAAACACGTTACCTAAAATTATCCACCGATCCTTTCATTATATCGCAGCACATATCGTTTATTGGAGGTGGTAGCGGAATGGGAAGTGTCACGTGGCATAGCTGATTGTGTGCTGCATGCATTTCATAGAACCTATTATGTCGGAGCTCATACAGCTAATTAGGTGTAGAAACCTTGATCCTGACTGTCTTGCACCCAGGGGCGGACTGACAACTCATGGGGCCCCCGGGCAATAGGGGCTCATGGGGCCCCTGTGTCCTTGCCCAAACTCAGAAAAGCCTATGAAAAAGGTACCAGGGGCATCTCATGAGGCCCCCTACTGACCCCGGGCAGTGCCCGAGTTTCCAAATGGTCAGTCCGCCCCTGCTTGCACCATCATTCTTTTGGAACTTCATTGCTCCAAATGTCGATTATCTTGTTTTCTGAAAATTTTGTGGCAGAGATCATGTGACTTTTAAGCAATGGTGGACTGACAGCAGCCACTGCTAATCGCATGTAGTCGCATACAGAATGATCAGCTGCAGTTTTGGACAGATGACAAGCCTGGACACATGCAATCAGCAGCTGCTGCTGTCAGCCTGCTATTAGTTTAAATGGGCTGAGCGGTGCAGTACATTGTTTTAAGAATGATGTGTTTCAGATTATCTGACTAATCGTGATCAGTGTTACAGAAATGCTTTTCTCTCACCTGTAATCTGGAATTCTCATTGTAACCACAGTGGTGACATGGCTCTGCTACATGGGTTGACATGGTGTTCAGGCAGGGGTGCTGATTGCTGAACAGCATTCCCCCAGAGTTCATTAGGGAGAGAATTTATGACCATTGCATTGGTTAGGTGATTGGCAGTAGAGCGCACAACATTTGTGACGATTTCAGAAAAATGTTAATAATTTCTGATCACTATGCAAATTTTATATGAGTACTCTGGAAGGGGGTCTGCTTTTCCAGTTGTCTGTCTGTGTGTATCGTTGATATGTTTTCGCAGCAGCTATTGGAAAAAAAAAAAAAAAAAGGGAAAATAATTGCCCTAAGCCACTGAGATCGCCTTCTAGTGGTTAGTCTATAAATTTCTGTTTTATCCATTAACACATTTGTTAAAATGTGAAATGTCACAAATGTTACTGCACTAACAACTAAAAATATAGTATGTTTACTTTCATTAGTGTTTTCCTTTAAATAAGGCAGTATTCCTTTTGTGTCTCATATTTAAAATGTTTTTTTTTTTTTTTTTTTTTTTTTTATTTGTTGTTTCATACCACCAAACCACTAGCAAAGTTTTCTGTCCTTTTGTTTTCAGAAGTGGACATTCCCTATTAGCATTCATGTTTTCGCGGCAAGAAGGAAAATTAAATCGTCAGCAGACCATGGAATTGGGTCACCATATCTTAAAAGCACACATATTTAAGGTACTGCTGTGATTTGCTGTGTGAAGTGTTTTGAACTAAGTGACTTTAAAGAGTATTTTCACTTTTTACAAAAAGACCCACTATATGTTATGTGCTTTCATTCACACAGCATACCTAAAATATTAAAACGGATACCTAGCAAGCTGCTTGCAATGGGGGCACTCAGCAGGGGGGAGGGGCAAGGAGCACCAGCTGGGGAGCCAAGAAGAGGAGGATCAGGGCTGCTGTGTGCAAAACCATTGCATACAGCAGATCAGTATGACATGTTTGGTACTAAAAAAAAAAAATAATGAGCTTTTGATATCACTTTATACCTGTTTCTAAGCTTAGCTGTAGGCAAAAGCGAAAAACTAGGCTTTACTACTGCTTTAAGCCTAGCTTCAGTAAAAACACAATATTCCTTAACTGCCATGAATTATGAATGGAAATTGACCCACATCTGGTTTTGTTTCTGGATATACTCTGAAAGATAATTTAATGCTTCACAGTCTTTTGGGCCTGTAGCAGCAGTGGCAGCATAGCTCAGGCACCATGTGCTTGGGCAGCAGACCAGTCATGCAAAATGCGGTTTCATCCATTCATCCCATTTTTATTTATTTAAAGATATTGCAGGATTTTATTTACTGCACAACATTGACTGATTATAGTTAGTCTACTTCTCAGGTACCCTTTCTTGATATCGTTTAGTGTATGTATGACCAAGTCCAGTAAAGCTTCAGGCGCCCAATGATTATATCATGAGGCTGGATTTCATGGATTGTGGACAGTTTAAACAAAATCTGTCAGGATTAGGAATGAGCTAAAACATGTTTGGACATGAATCCAAACCTACCTGTGCTATCCTGCCCAGAAGCTGGCGAGGAGGACAGCCAGTCGTGGCCAGTGGAGGCCCCTCCTCCTGCAGCCACACCAGAAAGATGTATACATGTGGCTGTGGAGCAGAGGGAGTGACTGCGTTGCATATGATTGGCTGTTGTCCACTTTTACTGCTTCCTGGCGGGATCAGACCTGTGTGTGAGCTCATCCCTAGTCAGGAACGAAATATGGAAGCAGCTATTGTAACGGAATCAGACCCCGACTGCACGAGGGTATTTCCGCTTCCCTGTCCGAACACGATCCACAGACACCACTCAAAGTAAAATCAGGAAATAGACTGCTTAATTTTAACACAGACACGAGATATAAACATTCAAGGGAGCAACCCACCTCCCTGCATGTGGACACAGGACGGGGCGAACCAAATCTAGCAACTAGAGACACATCAGCAGACACCCCCCCACCAAGCCAATACACAAACACATGCATCCCATAATAGTTTGCTCCCAAGCAAGACACACAATAGAACAATGGGATGCACCACATGGCAGTAAACAATGAATACCACATGCCACCTATACATGTCTACACAATATCAGGACATTCCACCTTGTACCCCTAACAGGCACAGGGTGACTTACACATAGGAGGGCTATGGGGAGCTGAGACAGGGGTCTCCCCACCCCTCCAAAGGGGGCTGTGTTCCATGGGCCCCCCTACCCAAAGTCACTCCCGTGACAGCTACTGATTACGTTGTTTTTAAAAGTGCAAACTCTCGGTTGTCCTTGTGGTGAGGGGATTCACCAGATAGTGGAGCAAAGTTAAAGTGGATGTTAAGGCAGCAGGTTTTTTACCTTCATACATTCTATGCATGATGGTAAAAAAACTTTTGTGTCCAGCAGCCCCCCTATCCCCACCCCAGTTGGATCCAGCAATGTGCATGAGAGCAGTGACTCTCTCTCTCCTCATTGGCTGAGACAGCAGCAGGAGCCATTGATTTCCGCTACTGTCAATAAGAGCCAGTGAACCAATGAGGAGAGAGCTGTGTGTGTGAATGGATACGCAGAGCAGTGGCTCCAGAGCCCCCATAGCAAGCAGCTTGCTCTGGGAAAACTTGGCAGGAGGGATGAGAAAGGAGTGCCGGCGGGGACCCAAGAAGAGGTGGATTGGGGCTGCTCTGTGTAAAACCATTGCACAGAGCAGGTAAGGATGACATATTTGTTGTTTTTGTGTTGTTTTTGTTAAATTGCCTTTAATATAACTTTAAGAATGCCAGCTATGTAGGATGTATCTTTAAAAGCAATTCAGCAGCACAACTGACCACATATGGTTGTGTATGGTCAATGTATAATGGCTTCTGTTGCTCCTGCATTGAGCTCATCCGCCAAGCGTTTAGGTCTTTTGGGCATGAAAATCATTAAGTGACAATAGGACCCTTAGACATGGTAGCATCTTTTGCCCCCATCACTTTGACAAGGATTACAATAGGCACCAAGAAGCCACTCCATTTGCATTGTCTGTATTGGCATGATCCTTCCTCATCAGACACCAAGTGCATCCTCCGTTGTAAAGTGACAGTCGGGTGCACAGTTTTGATCATTTGTACTGTTTCTCTGGTATTCTGAAGTAACATGAAGGCTGTAGCTAGGCATCCACTGGGGGCCCTAAGCTTCTGCCTAGGTTGCCTTGTAAATGAATCAGCTCTACATATTTATGCAAGATTATTTCATGAATCTACCTGAACTTGAGTCAAATGAGGCAGTACGGTGTTAGTGTGTATTGGTAGGTTATGGGGCCATTCTCTATGCTGGAGATTTTCACTTGGTTAACCAACACAGGGAAACTTGCAGGATTTACAACCAATAATAAATAAACTGTTTTCACTTGTGTTTAATAATTCTAGCATACCATACCTTGTCATAATGTTCCATTAAGGAGTCTATTATCATAACCTGTATAGGAATGCAGCTGTAGAGTTAGGGCTTGGCACTGGTGCGGTTTGAAGGCTGGGCACTCCCTCCTGGCTGACAAACTTCCTTTTGTCTGGGTAGAATGGTTCCATGATATGTGCATAATGTCTCTCAGTGGTGATGGCTGATTTCAATCTTTGTCTTTGTTCAAAGGCAACGCGATAGTTGCAGCTTGTGTATTATTCTCTTACCTGTTGTAGTAGGCTAAGATTGTCTTGCACTATGGTGACAGAAGCACAAATCATAGTCTTCATTCATATTAGTAAGCAATAACTGGGTTACAGTGGACCTCCCAGTAACTATCACACTTCATATGCACTCACCGGCCACTTTATTAGGTACACCTGTTCAATTACTTGGTAACACAAATTGCTAATCAGCCAATCACATGGCAGCAACTCAATGCATTTAGGCACCGAGAATCAGAATGAGGAAGAAAGTAGATTTAAGTGACTTTGAATGTGGCATGGTTGTTGGTGCCAGATGGGCTGGTCTGAGTATTTCAAAAACAGCTGATCTACTGGGATTTGTACACACAACCATCTCTAGGGTTTACAGGGAATGGTCCGAAAAAGAGAAAATATCCAGTGAGCAGCAGTTGTGTGGGCGAACGTGCCTTGTTGATGTCAGAGGTCAGAGGAAAATGGGCAGACTGGTTCCTGCGACATTCAGATGGTAGGGTCAGAATTTGGCGTAAACAACATGAAAGCATGGATCCATCCTGCCTTGTATCAATGGTTCAGGCTGGTGGTGATGGTGTAATGGTGTGGGGGAGATTTTATTGGCACTAGCATGGTGTACCTAATAAAGTAGCCGTTTGAGTGTATTTTAATATGGTGCATCTGCTTTGTCACATCACATTACATTTTAAAGTGGTTGTAAACCCTTACATATACCCAAATGAAGTGACTGGCCTCAGATGATACACAGAGATTATACAAATCCTCCTATGTAAATTGTACATGTTTTTCTGCAGTCTTCTCTTTTCTACATCTGTTCAGAATTTTATACAGCTAGTCTGAGATTTCAGAGAGCAGGGGTTGGGCAATTAGTTATACACTGCAGAGCTCAGTGAGGAGAGCCGATTGGAGGGAAGAGACACACCCTCTTCATAGGCTGTGTGCTGGATGTCCCTTCCCTGTCACCTTTTTACCTCTTGGTGTCAGAAAAACTTGTCAGAAGTGAATTATGCAGATAGCAGAGTAATGAGGCAGCAGACTGAAATTACACAGTAATCTGGATTGAGACAAGTATACACCATAGAGGGATATGCTTTGTTCATGTCAGGTTTACAACCACTTTATAGCATAAAGGTCTGTATTTATTGTCTTTGAGCTCCATCATTTTACTTACAGTTGCATGGTCTCTACCACGTCGAGGACAAGTGTGCCCTGGGTCCTCTAAACAGTCCTACAATTCTAGCTGTAGGAGGCAGTATTTTAAAAAACATTTCAGCCATACAGTCTGTCTAGTAGTAGTTAATCGTATTCTACTGGACATATGAAATGTTGGCAACATTACAAAACAAGTCTTGCTGATTGTGACTAGCTACTACTAGATATTTATTTATTATTATTTATTTATCTCAGGTATTTATATAGTGCTGTCAATTTATGCAGCGCTTTACATATATATTGTACATTCACATCATATATCATAATAGTCAGTCTGTCTATGATGCACAGCGTTGTAAGTGCTTACTGATTCTTTGCTGGGCTATACATATCACACATTAGGTGCTGCAGCACCGTCCACAGCCTCTGCTTTCAGCTGTAAGCCACAAAGAAATTTATATCATGGCTGGCCCATCACATATAATGATGCTTTGGGAGCTCTGTTTTATATGAAAGGATGGGCTGAAGCTGGCCATAGATGTATGAAAATTTGGCTGGTTCAGCAAGGACTGGCTAAATTTTGATCCATGTATGGCCGTTCTGCTCAACAAAAGTTGATCTAACATTCAACCTCTGTCAAACAGGACTGATCGAAAACTTTGCTCCATCACCAAGCTGCAGCCAATCAACTGTAACCACTGATGAGTACATTCTGACAGCAGAGAAGTCTTGCTGTCCGGATACAATGTCTCAGAGGGGAGGATTCCAACATCCACCTTGCTTGTGTGGATGGAGGAATCTGAAAAAAACATACAACCCATGTATGGCCAGCCTCAGCTTCTGTATGGCCAGCCTCAGCTTCTCAAATATTTAGAAGCAATATCATACGTAGAATCTAGCTGATGCTTCTAAGCTGATCCTTTTTATGTTGGTACACAGAAAGTTTTTTGACAATATAAGATAAGAATGCCACATATGAAAATACCTGTATGAATTTTTATTTCCGTTTTGTGTTACCAGTAATAGCTGCTCACATCAGATTGGTTGGTGTAGACAATGGCTTCATTTTTGCCCCTTCTTCCATGTTGCTGCTTCGTACCCATTGTCTGTATCCCATGGCTCTCAATTGACTTAGCAGACACTCGCCAAAGGCACTGAAAGGCTGTAAGATATGGTGGGGAATTCTGAGGCGGGTTTTTCTGTCATTTGTAAGTGAAATACGGCAATTCCTGTAAACACAGACTTTAAAGTATTTTAAGCAGCTAAAAATAATTGGCAATGATGGGAATTCTGCCTTATTGGTTGTGTAAGATGATGTAATGCAGTAAACTAAACTGAAAATGGCAATAAAGCACATATTGTTTTCCTCCCCTTGTTTTTCACTTCTTACCATAATGTCTTAATATGGTCTTTGTTAGCAAATTACCAGTAAATACTGAAAAAAAAAAATCATAGGGAAAATAGATTTTATTATTATTATTATACAGTGTTTATATAGCGCCAAAGGGTTTGCTCAGCGCTGTACAATAGCGAGGGGGACAGAACATGAGACAATACAGTAACAATACAATACACGAGGGGTTCGAGGGCCCTGCTCTTTCGAGCTTACAATCTAGGAGGGAGGGGATAGTGGTACAGGAGGAAGTGGCTGTGGGGGATGGAGTGGTAGGAGGAGATTGGTTGTTAGGTGAGGGTGGGGTAGGCTTCCCTGAAGAGATGGGTTTTCAGGGTGCGCCTGAAGGTGAGGAGGGTAGGTGACAGTCTGATGGATGGGGGGGTAGGGTGTTCCAGAGGATGGGGGAAGTCCTGGAGAAGTCCTGCAGTCGGGCGTGGGAAGAGGAGTCCAGGGAGCTAGAGAGTAGGAGGTCTTTTGAGGAGCGAAGGGCACGGGTAGGGTGGTATTTGGGTATCAGGTCAGTGAGGTAGTTTGGGGCAGTGTTGTGAATGGCTTTGTATGTCAGAGTTAGTAATTTGAATTTAATGCGTTGGGCAATCGGGAGCCAGTGAAGGGATTGGCAGAGGGTGTGGCAGATGTGGAGCGGTTGGTGAGGTGGATGAGTCTAGCCGCTGAGTTCAGGGTAGACTGGAGTGGGGATACCATTTGTTTGGGTAGGCCAGTGAGAAGGGAGTGACAGTAGTCCAGGCGTGAGATAATCAGGGAGTGTACAAGTTGTTTAGTAGTGTCTGGGGTGAGGAACGTACGTATCTTGGAGATGTTGCGGAGGTGGAGCCTGCATGACTTTGATAGTGATTGGACATGAGGTTGGAAGGAAAGGTTTGAGTCCAGGGTGACACCCAGCACTTTGGCGTGTGTGGTGGGATTGATGGTGGCGTTGCTAGTCGTGATGGAGAGGATGGCGGGGGGGGGGGGCGCGGGCTGGGGGGAAAACTAGGAGCTCGGTTTTGGACAGGTTTAACTTGAGGAAATGGAGCGACATCCAGTCTGATATGTCATTCAGGAGGTGGTCAATGCGGGGCGGAGAGAGAGGGGGTGAGGTGAAGGGTAAAGAGGTAAATTTTTGTGTCGTTGGCATAGAGGTGGTAGTTGAAGCCGTGGGAGTGTATCAGTTTGCCAAGGGTGGAGGTGTAGATGGAGAAGAGGAGGGGTCCGAGGACAGAGCCTTGGGGGACCCCGACAGAGAGGGGGAGAGAGGAGGGAGGTGGCAGCGTTATAGGTAACGCTGAAGGAGCATTGGGATAGGTAGGAGGAGAGCCAGTAGAGAGCAGTCCCTGATGCCAAAGGAATGCAGTTTAGTAAGGAGGAGGGGGTGGTCGACGGTGTTGAAGTCCGCGGAGAGGTCGAGGAGCAGGAGGACTGAGTAGTGGCCATTAGCTTTGGCGGTTAGCAGGTTGTTAGTGATTTTAAGTAGGGCGGTTTCGGTGGAGTGTAGGGGACGGAAGCCAAACTGTAGTGGATCAAGGAGGTTGTTATCAGTGAGGTGGGCACTTAGGCGATTGTAGGCTAAGTACTCAAGGAGCTTGGAAGTGAATGGCAGCAGGGAGATGGGTCTAAGGTTTTTTAGGCCAGTGGGGTCAAGGGAGGGTTTTTTGAGTATGGGGTTGATGTGTGCGTGCTTTAGTGGGGAGGGGATTGCACCAGTAGAGAGGGAGAGATTGAAGATGTGGGTGAGGGAGCGAATGATGGAGGAGGGAGGTGACTGGAGGAGTTGTGAGGGGGATAGGGTCCAGGGGACAAGTGGTGAGGCGGGCTTCAGTGAAGACCTTAGTGACCTCCTCAGTGGTAGCAGGGCTGAAGGAGCAGAGTGTTGGAGATGTTATAGTGTGCGGGGTGTTAGGTATGGTGGGGGGCAGATTTATAGATACTTTCCTTTTAATGCATTATGTGTACATCAGGAAGTATGGTCAGCATATGTACAAACACGGCTCCATGCACACTAGCGGTTTTAAGCTCCTAGAAGCTGTTATCAGCATTTTTTTTTTCTGCTCCTAGAAGCTATAATAGTGTTATCCTATGTGTCCATGTACACTCTTTTAGGCTAGAAGTGTTTTTCAAGCTTCACTGTTTAGGAACAGTAAAACGAATTTTTTTTTTTAGCATTTTTGCTTAGCATGTGTACTGACAAAACGTTCTAAGCAAAGGGCCAGTTTTCTTTCCCTCAGATATTAGAGGGGCCGAAGTGCGACCAGTTGGAGTAAAAAATGTCTTGGCATCAGTGGGACTAACCAGTGCCAGGAATAGTGCCCCATCTTTGGGGGGAATAGTGTCCCATCGTTGGTGTCATTGGGAAGTATTGTGTCCCATCGTTGGTGTCTTTGGGAAGTATTGTGCCCCATCGTTGGTGTCTTTGGGAAGTATTGTGCCCCATTTTTGGTGTCATTGGGAGGAATTGTGCCTCTTTGTTAGTGTCATTGGGAGGAATTTTGCCCCATTGTTGGTGTCGTTGGAACTGTGCATCATCATTGATGTGATGGTAAGGAATTGTACCCCATTGTTGGTGTCAATGGGATTTATTATGCATCATTGATGGTATCATTGAATGGAATAGTGCCACAAGGGCCAGATAAATGCAAGCAAAGGCCACATCTGGCCCCCGGACCGCAGTTTGGAGAATACTGTTTTTAGCTAATCTGGAGAAAAGAACTGTAAAATACCTGTTGACAGTTCTGTGATCTCTCTGCCTGCTGGTCTTTAAACAGAGCCATGGTCGGAGTCACTCGACAGGCCCAGTCAGCCAGTTGGTGACATTTCTTACCCTTTGACAACATCATCATCACCATCACTTTTGTTCAAGGAGCTGGTGAGATGCCATAGCTGCGAATAAGTATTTCAATTAGGTTACATTTTTGGTTGAGAGTCAGCTCTGAAGCTGACGGAATTTAAAAGTAAAATGTTAAACTGATGATAACAAAAGCATTCAGTTATTATTTAATGATGTGTAGCTATCATTAGAAAACACATACTAGTTCAGATTTTATCAATTTAGAGTGACCAGTGAGGGTTACTATTAGACAATACCAATTTCTTTTGCCCTATTAAATAGTCTATTAAACATAAATCTGACAGTGGGTCTGTTTTGTTGCTTCAGGGACTCAGTAAGAAGAATGGGATCTCGTCCAGTACTCTTCAGGCCTTGTGGATTGGATACAGCACGGATGGATTGTCTGCCGCCCTGGCTTCTCTAAGGAATCTGTACACCCCAAATGTAAAGGTAATTGTGCTGTGAGGAGTGTGCTGTATGTGCACTTTGTATAGACAGTAAAAGGAAAATGCTTTGAGTGATTTTTCTACTCCACTGGTTGAAAAGTTACAAAGCTTTGAAGCTCAAATATGGGAGCAGCTCGTGCGTTTTGGATAGCGTTCAACCAGTGACACGGCACTCAATGCTTCGGTACAGTGATTAAGCCATGACATCATCCAGGACATGTGACCCGTGTCAGATCAGAGAGCATGATCAAGCCTTTCATGGCTAGAACAATATAAAGGTTGTCTGGACTCTCCTAAACTGTCCAACCATGTCTGAGAAGAAACTATAGGCCTTCGAGAAGTCCAAAGTGACCTGCTACATTTAATGATATGTTGAAAAAGCATTAGCGTGCAGAAACCCATAGCTGCTGTCACTGATCCACTTTCATTAGCTTGACTATACTAAGCTGTTAAAAAGCAGTGTTGGGAACTAAAGGCTGGAAAATGTAAGGAAGCATTATTTTCCCAAAGGGTGGAACCAACTACAAGCCAATGCTGAAAACCTTCAATTTGTTTTTTATAGACGGCTGCCCCATTTTTTTTTCCCCCCCGAGAAAGGGGAAGGAATTTGTTTGGCAGAAGACACATAGTAAGTCTGTTATACCAAATATTAAAGAGGGTGATAATTAGGTGTAAATAAAAAATAAAATGAAGACCAAATATTACAGTTGAAAATGTATTAAACATATCTCATTAACAGTGGAGCTCTCACATATTAAAAGAAAAACAAGTTCAAGCATATTAACCACTTGCCGTCCCCGGCCACTGTATATAAACGGCAGGACAGTGGCACTCCGGGGGCGGGTTGCCGTTCATAAACGGCACCCGCCATTATGGACTGTGCGCGCTCCCTGGGGGCGTGCAGCACCGCAATCTGGTGCCTGCTGTGTCTGGAGGACATAGTGGAACTCCGATCGTCATACGGGACCTCTGTGCGAGGTCCCGATCATGTGATCACTGATTGGCCAATCAGTGATCACATGCAGAGTAGTACGCAAGATGACATCATTGACAACATGAAATCTGTGAATGATCACAGAGGTCACATGGTACAAGGCTATTCACAACAGCCTTGTACCATATGACAAGCTGTTACCAATCACAGCTCACACAGTAGTTCTCAATGGCTGCAAGAATGCAGCCAGAGAAAAGGAGAAATGATTGCTTTTACAGCCTTTATGGGTGTAAAAGCAATCAGTGTACAAAAAAAAAATCTCCATCACCCCCAGTACAGTACTGTGTCACCATGGTATGTTAAAAAAAAAAAAAACAAATAATATAAAAATGTAAAAACTTTTTTTTTTTATAAATTATAGTTCTTGGTTATAAAATAAGTTGGGTTAATTTTTTTTTTACTAAAAAGATAAATGAATAAATTTTGGCCACGATTTATGATGAAATATTATTATTTATTTGCAAAATTTTATAAGAAAAACACTTTCTTTCAAAATTTTTGGACATTTTCATTTATATAGCAAAAAAAAATAAAAATCCCAGTGGTGAATAAATACCACCAAAATAAAGCTTTATCTGTCTCAAAAAAATGCATATGGGTACAGTGTTGCATGACCTCGCAATTGTCATTCAATGTGTGATAGCGCTGAAAGCTGAAAATTGGCCTGGACAGGACGGGGGTAAAAGTGTCTGGATTGGAAGTGGTTAACATAGTAGATAAACAGATATCTAATCGATTTCAGGGAAAGTCCTTCATATATGCTAGGATGATCAGGACGTGTATGTAAATATTCTGTTATGGTTCAGTTGATCTGCTGTCATAGTGAACTTTGCAATTGTAGTTGTTCAACATGTTTCTCGGACAAAGGTCACCGTTCCCAAAGATACACAAGTTCTATAGTATCCTATCTAGTAAATTATTCTAGTGCTCCATGAATACCGAACTCTCAATCCATGAAAAAAACATTATTTTTCGTCCCCAGTTCCAGTGTGTAACCTTATGGGCTGAAACAGTACAAAAGCTCAGATGTGGGAGGCCCATTAGGTGGTGTGTCCCCAAATGAGAAAGAACACCAACCCTACCCATGCTGTGCACAGGGAGAGAGAGGACAAAAAACTACTTACTATATTTTTTGATTTCAAACTTTAGCTCCTTCTTAAAGTGTTACTAAACCCACAACAGTAAAATGAGTCTGTATACGCAGTAAAGCATGCTTGCTATACTCTCTGTGGTACCGAAGGGGTTAATCCTCCGTATTTAAAAAACAATCCTGTCTTCTCTGATCCTCCCCTTCTTTCAATGTCCCCAGGAGTCTAGGAGTCTTTCTGCACATGCTCAGTTTTGTGTGTATTGCTAGATAGTTTTTTTTTTTTTTTTCTTTGGGAGGTTGTGTGTGATTAGCACAGGGCCAGTCAGCACTGTCCATACAGAGGGTCGGGGGTCATGCAGCCTTATAGGACAGTCAGGAATGAATGAACACTACAAGATTGCCCAGTGCTCTATCGGACACTGATAGAAGGCACAAAGCTGCTATATATACTGCTGATGATAAAGGGTATTTAGCAGTTTATATTTACTAAAATAATTGCATTTCCGTGTTCTGTGTACTGTGGGAGACCAGATATAGTGAATGCAGGGTCTGGGGAGACCTGATATAGTAAATGCAGGTTCCTGGGAGACCAGATATAGTGAATGCAGGTTCCTGGAAGACCAGATATAGTGAATGCAGGGTCCTGGGAGACCAGATATAGTGAATGCAGGGTCCTGGGAGACCAGATATAGTGAATGCAGGGTCCTGGGAGACCAGATATAGTGAATGCAGGGTCCAGGGTTTAGTAACACTTTAAGGCTCAAGAGTGGAAAAAATAACTAGCATAAAAATTCTAAACGACTAATATTAAATGAGGTCACTGCAGGTGTTTCTCTCCGGTCTTCTTGCATTACAAATAGTGTAATTTTCTTCTAACATCAACAGAGAATGAAATCATCTTCACCAGTTTTAGATTCCAGTCCACTAATGACTCCCCCTCCCCCGTTCCAACATCGTTTCTTCGACCTTGGATGGTGACATCAGCTGCTCCCTCCTGCCCCAAGGCTGCTTAGTTTACTGTGTCAAAGTAAAGTGTCGTTTTAATTTGTTGTCAACATAAGTTGTCTTTCTGGGACGGCAAGTAATAATAATATCTCAATAATGGCAATAACGTGTGCCATGCATTACCCCTTTATTAAACTGTTAATAGTTAAAATGAAACTGTTCATGGGGATCTTCATCATCGGAACCCCTGATACATCATAAGACAACTGTTACTTGTATAAACTGTTCATACAAACTTCAATTACCACTGAAAGGACTAATCTGTTTAAATGTCTTGTCACTGTGAGCGGTTTGTGTATTGTGTGAGGTCCGTGCCCATTCAGTAAGGGTTTTGCGGCCTTTATGGTACGGAAGTTCTTATAGAAAACTGGCTTTAAGCCCTGGTTCACACTGATGCGGTACGGAATTCGCTGCGTTTTCTGTGCCAATTCCACACCGCATCAGAATCGCACCCCGTTCATACGAACCGCTGTTGGGTGTGTGTGTTAACAACACCCCGAAGGGGGTCCGCAAAACATGGTGCAATGTGCAGAATCGGATCGCATAGGTGTGAATACCCATGCGATCCAATTCTAGTGCGGACCAAAAAAAGGGTCCTGCACATTTTTGGTGTGGGTGCCGTGCAATCAGAGCCAAACAAAATGTATGATTCCATTCGCACCGCACACAAATCATGTGATTTGCATAGGAATGCAGTGCGGTTCCTGTGTGAATCACATGCGATATACCGCACATATTTGAACCCAGGCTAAATCTGTTTCCTATTTCAATATAGGCCTGTTTTATTTTCTCAGCTCCTTCCCCGCCTACAAACCTTCCTCAGCTCATTCATCAAACCGTCTATTGCTGTTTAAATGTCTTTCTGTAGCTGTCAAAATGCAAAGTTTTGCAATTATAGTAATATGTGGTTATGTTTACCAGGGGCCTCCCCAACTGTGTGTTAATTGCAGTGTTTTGTTGGGGCCGTGTCTGCCGGAGATCGTTGTTGCTGCAGCAAGATTTATATTAGTAGTCGGTGAAACCTTATACCGGAATAAAGAGGCTAGACTAAAGGGATTTATTTTACTAGGCTTTCCACCTCAGCGGATATCTCATTGAGAATAATGGAAAAGGATAAAGCGTGTTGTGCATTGTATGTGTTTTCAGTGTGTCTAGAACAGAAGCCTTTCTCAACTCTAACTTGGAGGAACCCTTAAAATAACTTTTTGTCTTTCGGGAACCCCCTGTTAATGATTATGTTTACAGCTTACAGTACATTATTGTGATGCAGAATAAATACAGTAAGTGTCTTTTGTGCGTTGCCTCTAATCTAGATAATGAACTTGTGTTGGGTGCCAAAGCTGCTGCAAACACTAATTATTATTAGACAGGATTTATATAGAGCCAACAATTTGCACAGTGCTTTACAATATAAGGGAGACAATACAATTACAATACATTTCAGTACAGAAGGAATAGGATGGGCCTGCTTGTGGAGCTTACAATCTAAAGGATGATGTGTGTTCATCACATGCCGTAATAGCAAAATAAATACAAATGTTGTTCTGCTAATAAAGTAAGCAGTTAGATCATCCTAAATACCACAAAGAATATATATGTGAAGATCAATTAAGATATCCATGTGCAAAATAGTTTATAAAGTCTCTTTAAAGGGAATTAATTGTGATCCTTGTAGTCTCTTCCTCTCCAATATACACCGTCAGTAGTGATCCTACTAGTAAGTGATCCCCCAATCCCAGTGCTGTAATTCCTTTATAACCAATTGTGCACCACCACAATCATGAATCCAAGGTGGACCCTCACCTTCATTGGAGGCATTTCAGGAGGCAGAGTCAGCACTGGAATCACTGCTTGCAGGTAGCAAGGTACCATGGGATATGTAGTCCTTAGACATTGAAAGTATACTGCAGAGGAAAAGCTGCAAAGCATGCAGGAAATCCAGGAAGTGGTGAAAAAAGTTGGCCAGCAGACATGCAGCACTCACCATGAAGGGAGATTTTCAAGTATTCTTATGTTGGATTGTCAAAAATAACTATTGCTTGTATTGCTATTTCAATGTTGAGTTTATAAAATTGAAGCGTAAGCTGGGACCAGAGAAGTCCCTAGGGTTGGTGTCACCTGGTGCGGTAACACGTGGTGTCACCCCTCCAGAGAGGAAGGGGCGTTGCCGGTGTAGCGGTAAAATGAGTATCCCGTGAAGACATGCATCCCCTGAAGCAACTGCGCATGTGCCGGTTTCAGGCCAAAAAAGAAGCTGATCTCCAACTTTAGCACAGAGCTGCCACAGTTAACCCCTAACAGGCTGTAAACCGCTGAAGCTAATCCCGCTGATCACTATGGGTTGCAAGATCAGTTAACCCCATATAGGTTGAACCTATAAATTTTTTTTTTTTTTTTTTTTTTTTTTTTTTTTTTACTGGATACATTTTATAGCAGAAAGTAAAAAAATGTTTTTTTCAAATATTCTGTCTTTTTTTTGTTTATAGCGCAAAAATTAAAAACCCCAGTGGTGATCAAATACCACAAACAAAAGCTCTATTTGTGTGAAAAAAATGATATAAATAATTTGGGTACAGCATTGCATGACGCACAATTACCAGTTATAGTAGCACAGTGTCGCATAGCAAAAGTAAAATTTTCTGGAGCGTAAGTGGTTAAAAAAGTTTACCCAACTTTTCAACATCTTTGTGATAGTAAAAGCACATGTTTGCTGATGTCTTTCAATAGCCTTGTGGCTTAGTTAGGTGGACAGCTGAAATTGGTCTACTCATGAATTACGTATCTTGTCTTATTAATGGCATGCTTTTACAGTATCATTAGAGGCATTTGTGTTGTTTGTTTTTCATTGCCATGGGTACTCTATAGGCACAGATTTCTACAGTTACATGAGAAACCTTCACACAGTCCCAGCGTTCCTTGGAGCTGATGTAGAGTATTATTGCTGCCAATAGTCAGATTCGGACTTTAATTTTTTTACTGGCAAGTGCAACTGCTTCAGTCTATGATGTCATAATGGCATGAAAGCAGAATCATCAAGGCCTATATATACTGTTGATGTTTGCAAATATGAACCCGGGGGGAGGCACTAATAGAACGGTCACTGTCAGAAACTACAAATGCTGTATTTTGTGTATAGGAAGAACGCTGTGGAGAAGGAATGGTCTACTTTCAGCGGTGTAAAGCAGAACTACACTACATCTGAGCGCCACAAACCAAAAGCACTATTTAATTTATTTTTAATATTCAAAGCAAACTTCCCTATCCATCCATGTCTCCATGCTTTATTTTGTTGAGAATTCACTTTGAAACCCCCCCCCCCCCCCCCAGCATACTAGCATTTCTGGCTGTGGCTATCTTGAGTAAGGGCAAATGATTCATGTAGCATTTACTTCTTGGAATGCATCTGCCCTTAGCTCAGGCAAGCCTTCAGGAGGTTGTGCTTAACTGAGAAAACCCCTCCTCCCTTCCTGAAGACTCCTGGGATGTGTGACCTCATTTGCTTTGGCATGCAAACAAGGTAGAAACTAAAGAACTGAAGAAAAAAAAAAAACCAGTGTAACGGAACCGGAACCCAGACCGCACTGAGTTTTTCCGTTATACCACAGCTTCCCCTGTCCGAACACCATCCACGGACCACACCCTTGAAATCCCTCAGGAAACAGACAGCACCCAGCTCTTCTTAAACAGGAAGCCAACTCTTTTTATTTTAACACAAATCACAGGATATATACAGAGGGCGGGGAAACACAATTAGGAACAGGAAATACATCATCACCCCTCCCCATCCCACCAAGACACACAACAATGGGATCCCATAATAGTTGGCTGGCCAGCAAGGCACAGCACAATGGGGGGTAGCACATGGCAAACAAACAATGGACAACCATGTGGCCTAGACAAAGGACAACACACAAATGCACAATACTGGGACATTCACATGTACACCCTGTACCCTTAAACAGGCACAGGGTGGGTTAAACATAATGGTTTGGAGAGATGATACAGAGGTCCCCCCACCCCCAAAAGTCACTCCCGTCACAAACAGTATAAAACAAGTAAAGACAATATGCTTTTCCTATCTATTTACTGATGCTAGAAGCATAATGACTAAAAATAGTTAATGCTGATTGAGAGAGTGAAGTTCCACTTTAATATGCCCCTGCCAAATCAGTGCCTGACCGCTCCAATCTATGGGGAGCATGAGCTTTGCTATTTGCAGAGCAATAGGTCTGACTCTGTAGGGGTACTCCAGTACTCTGCAGTGAGACCACTGCTTCCCTTGAAAAGCAAGGGTCCCACCCTGTGGCTGCTGGCAGGGGCAGGCTTTTATATTCAGGTCGTGGTTAACAAATTAACACTTTTTCATTTTGATAAACCTGGAACGTGTTTAGCTGATTTAAACTGAAGGTTCAATCTGCCTTTAAGGCAAGTTAAAAAGACCGGTCGAGTAGTTATATAGTATGTTATTGCAGATTGCTTTAAAGCAAACCTGTGCTTGGCACATACAGGGCAAAGCAAAATCTTTGTCACACGGACTGTCTATAGACCTGTGTAGGCTACGACTAGAGCGACTTATAGAGTACACAGAAATTTCCTTCACTCCAGACAGCTGAATGGAGCACTGGGGGAGTGAAAGAAATGTGAGTATGTGCTGCTGGGGAGGGGAGGCATGATGATTGCTCAGTCCAGGAAGAAAGCCTACCTCCCTCCACCAAGGAAGTAGAGGAAACTGCCACAATGTCACTGCACCAGCTAAACAACTTTGGATAAAAGGTATGTATAGAAGTGAAAATACCAGGGTAGGCTTTGGGGGGTGTTGGGTTTAGGGGGTTTTGAGATACTGCAGCTCAATGAATTAGAACCAGTGACTTTACTTGTGTTGGAAGCGTTACCCTATGAAGAAATATGTAGCTATTATTTCCTATGGTTGAGGGAGGCTCCAGCTTTGGCCTGGAAAGTAAATGCATTTTTAAGTATTTTCTTGAAAATCATACTTCACATTCTTCCACGAGCAGCGTTTGCCAGACTGTGCAATGGTTATGCTTAGTGGAAAACCCATCAGTCTTCTCAACACCTTACAGTCTGGCTTCTTCTATGGACTGGAATTGTAATCTGCTAGACTAATACCAAATATGAAATGGATCATTAAAGTGGTTCTAAAGGTTTTTTTTTTTTTCTTTAAAATAACAAACATGTTATACAATGGTTTTGCACAGAGCAGCCGCGATCCTTCTCTTCTCAGGTCCCCCACTGGCGCTTGTGGCCACCTCCTCCATTGCCGAGTGCCCCCAGCGCAAGCTGCTTGAGCTGGGGGGCACTAGTGCATGCTCGCTCCCAAGCCAGCTCTATGTGTCTATGGGACACACAGAGCGTGGCTCAGTCCTGTCTCCCTCCTCACTGGCTGTGATTGACAGCAGTGTGAGCCAATGACTCTCCCTGCTGTGTTTCAGCCAATTAGGGAGAGACCCAAGGCTCCTGTGCACAGTCCTGGATGAAGATCGGGCTCAGGTAAGTATTCAGGGACTGCAGAAGAAGCTGCACACCGAAGCCTTTTTTACCATAGAATGCATGAAGGTAAAAAACCTTCACCCTTTACAACCACTTCAAGCATTGTGTATAAAGAGAACCAACCAGTATTCTTCTGTACTCAGGAACACATGTTGTTTAGAGTTTTTATCATACTCAAGTGTTTTGAACTACTATGTGTGGCTATACATGGATCAAGTTCTTCAATCCGTGTATGGGCAGGCTGGTTGTACAGAAGTTGGGGCCATTTCCCTCCCACTGGCACCAATGATGGGGCACTTTCCCTCCCACTGGCACCAACTATGGGGCACTTTCCCTCCCACTGGCACCAACTATGGGGCACTTTCACTCCCAATGGCACCAACGATGGGGCACTTTCCCTCCCACTGGCACCAACGATGGGGCACTTTCCCTCCCACTGGCACCAACGATGGGGCACTTTCCCTCCCACTGGCACCAACGATGGGGCACTTTCCCTCCCACTGGCACCAACGATGGGCCACTTTCCCTCCCACTGACCACCAAGCCTAGGGTATTGTTTACTCCTACTGATGCCAGGGCATTTTCTACTGCCACTGGCCACAATCCTGCCCCCTTTAAGTTTGAAGGGCAGTAAACTAGCCCTTTGTTTGAAAAGTTTGGAGACCCCTGCATTAAGGTAAACAAAGTTTTTAGGTTTAGTATCACTTTAACTGAACAAGCTGCATATCAAAGCTGAACTGGTATAATGCACAGCTGCTCCAGATTTAATACATTCCCCCAGTGAGGAGGGGAGAGCACACACTTGACCTCATCAGCGTGTTGCTACTCCACCATCCAATCACAGGCTAGGGCAGTCCTTGACCAAGCTGTATTGTTTTAAATGCTATAAAAAAAAGAGACGTCAGATCCTGGCTGTGCCGTATGCATGACTGGATTGTAAAACTAGCTGAACAAAATTTTAAATTTAATGGCGGGTAAAGCAGTTCACACTTACAAGGTAAATATTGCAAGTATGAGTTAATCTGTTTGCCTTCACTTCCACTTTTAGCTGTCAGCTGGTGGATAGCAAACACACCCATTTCCAAAGTCATTTTTTTTTTCTCTCTGATCTCTTAGTGTTGATCGATTTGGTTTTTTGCTTGTAATCACCATTACATTCCTTGCAAACAAGAATCCTCTAACGGGTTTTTATTGAATCCCCATGAATACCAGTAAAACGGAGCCTAGGACAGTGGAAATATACAAAGTGTTGTGATCCAACTGGATTTTCCTTATCTGATTATAGCCGTAAAGAGCAGTAGAAGACTATTGATGTTTTTTTATTGGCTACAGAATTTGTTGAATTAAATAAGTCTGCTAATCTCTAAGTTAGCAAGAAGCCTGAACCTCATAGCTGACATTGATTGAAAGCAAAACTGCCTGTATTGCCCATAGCAGATGATCAGTCCTTGCTTCTCTTGGATACAGTAGAAGATGAAAGGTTGAGGCCTATGGGTTGTTATGTACAGCACAGTTTACCTTTTAGTTTATTTTAACCTAAAACATGTGTTAAGTGCAAGTAAAGGGCATTATGCTCTTTGTACTAACCCTGCAAGGCTAGATCCCAAGGGATGGTCATCGGCTGAAGCTTAAAACCTCTGAGTGCATCCTATGGAAGGGATGCTAGAAAAGCTGATGCAATGCAGAAGTTTAAAAAAAAAAAATACCCCTGCTTAAATAATGATCCCGTCTGGCTCACATTTGACTCCCTTTTGGTTGTTCCAACTGCACCCAGGTAGGTATCTTTATTGCATAACAGATCTCGTATGATTGATAGGAAATAGCTGGCTTTACTGCAACCTGGCAATAACCCACCACTGGTCAGTCATTGCCAACAAGTCTTTGATGATGGAGTTCTGTAAACGTTTTTCCATTCTAAAAACATGTTGTAGAGCGCCAGTTTTCCCTATACTGTGTCAGGGGAGCTTTATGTTCCTTTTCAGTCTCAAGCACGTTTTAATGCACTTATATTATCTTACACCTATTATACGTTTTTCATCTGTCGGTCCTCCTTAATAGACCACAATGTATTCCCATGCCCTGCATCAAGAAAGCAGGTTAAATCTAGCTTATTGTGTTTCAGGGAATATCACAGAGCTGGTATAAAGTGCATACACAAATGTCTTCTGTGGTTTTGGCTCTAGCCAAGCAAAATTAATTTGCTGCAGCTGCCTATAGCATTCCTACATCCAGCAAAAAAACTAACACACTTCTTGATTCTTTTTGCAGGTGAGCCGACTCCTGATTTTAGCAGGGGCAAACGTCAACTACAGGACAGAGGTTTTAAATAACGCCCCGATTCAGTGTGTCCAAGCGCACCTCGGTCACGAGGAGATGGTCAGCCTGCTGCTGGAATTTGGGGGCATTGTGGATGGGATGTCGGAGAGTGGAATGACCCCGCTGTGCTACGCAGCTGCTTCTGGACACCTAAATATTGTAACTCTTCTGATCAAAAAAGGAGCAAAGGTGAATATAGAGTGGGGAATATAATGACGTACTTGTGATGCTTTTCAGGCAGTTTAAGTACACTAAAAGGTCTAGCGTTTAATTTATAAAACCCTTGTGACAGTTAGTGTTACTGAACCCAGGACCCTGCATTCACTATATCTGGTATCCCGCAGTACATACAACATGGAAATGCAATTATTTTAGTAAATATAAACTGCTAAATACCTTTTCTCATCAGCCGTGTGTAGCAGTTTTGTGACTTCTATCTGTGTCCAGCTGAGCACAGGTTATAGCTTGTAGGAGGAGTTTTCATTCTCCTCTGACTGTCTTATGAGGCTGTCTAACCCCTGACCCTCTGTCTGGAAAGTGCTGATTGGCCCTGTGCTCCTCACATGCACCCTCCCAAAGAAAAAAAAACTACAGCAATACACTAAACTGAGCATGTGCAGAGTGCCTCCTAAGGCTCTATACTATGAGCAGATGGATTGGGGACAGTAGAAGGGGAGGATCAGAGAAGCCAGGATCAAACAGACTTTTTGCACAATACAGAGGATTAACAAGTATGCTTTACTGCATACAGAGACTGATTTTACTGTTTGGAGTTTACTAACACTTTACCAGTTCTATCACATGCTACAGACTCTGGTAATTCTTATTTGTGCCACTTTCATATTGTGTTGCCGTGGCTGCAACAATTTCAAAAAGAATTACCACCAGTTTGTAGATAAGAAACTGGCGGTAATGAGACCAACTCTAAGTTGCCATAAAGGACAAGCCAGAGTGCAGCCTCTGTGTTGTGAAGAACAAGCCATGTTTACATGCACCACTATCTATATAAAAAAATTTTTTAATAAGCTATTTAATATTACATTTGCATCCATTCACATTTTTACTCTTGAGCAAGTGTGGGTAATAAACTACGTAATGTAGGCATTTCTGTAATCATCCTGTCCTCCTGAAAACATGCTGTCCACCTGCCGCTAGTGTCCTAGCAACCACTGACGTAGGACTGAACATGGACAGTGAGGAGAACCTGATGGGTATGCTGAGAGACTAGTCTCCCATCGTTTTCACCTTCATTGTAATTGACAGGGGACAGCAGTGGGACAATTCCATAGCTGCTATTGGGCTACAGAATCTGCACGCTGCCATCCGCTCTCAATCACAAGGGAGGCAGCCTGAATGGGGGACTAGATTCGAAGCATTCCCACTGATGGGGAACTATTGCCTCAGCATCAGACTCCCCCCAACCCTTAGCTCAACTCCCTGACCGTAGTGCCTGCCTGAGTGATGGGTGCAGTGGCTGGATAGAAGAGCCTAGTAACACTGACCTTGTTTGTTTTATTTGTTCTTTCCATGCTTGGCGTACTGAGCTGCATTAAATTTGGAGCGTTCTGTATGGATACTCCAGCCTCAGTGTTGGCCACCATGTGACAAAAGTTTGGACGTTTTGTCTTTTGTTTTGCTTTTTATTTTTCCTTTAATGTTCTTTATAGTCAAAGTGGAGTCTCCCTTTACAATCTACCAGATCATTTAGGGAAAATCTGTTGTTTCAGTAATCTCTTTCACATTTAGTAAATCTATTATGCTATATATAATATATGACACTTCCAGGGACTTCAGCCAAGTGTTGTAATTGTGCAATGCAGGAGTTACTATTGCTTTAATTACATTTTGCCTGCAATAATTATATGCACATTGGCAGTCTCCACCCTTGGATTGAACTGTGCTCTCTCGCTCATATAATTTACAATGGCAGACAGGCTTCAGTTAGAATGTGTGAAGCTTTGTCCATATGTGTGGAATTTGCTCTGTATGTGGCCCGTAAGATGATGTGGGTTATTGTGTTACTGGATCCCGGGTCATTAATAGGAATTTGTCAGAATGTGCCCCCTTCCACTCTAATATCCAGCAGATGTTGTGGCTTCCTCATCTAATGAAGCTCACAGAGGATATGCTTCCTGTGCTGATGTTGCTGGGCTTCAGCTATTCCGGCAGATGGGGAATATTGGCGAGACTCTACAAGGTCCTTATTGAAAGGTGTTCTCTTGCCCTGATTTATCAGAATGGCTGATAAAGGAATAATTGTTGTTGCCAGAAGGAAACCTACCAGATTCCATTTTTTTTTTATTGTCCCAAATTTGAATTTCCCTTGAATGGCAGATTCTGACTGGTTGCCATCAGCAAAACAATTGGTTCTTAATGCAGACACTGATAAATGTGTGTTAGCAAAGAATTCTCATTGGCATTGGCTGTTTTAAGCAAGCAGATTGGAAAAGATTAGCATAAGGAATAGAATAACTAAGGTCAGGTCTTGACATCTAAAGTGTATCCGTTAATAGTCACCCAAAATGTGTACTGGGAGAAATCATGCAGACATTATTATTATTCAATCTGTAAATAAATCAATAAATGCTAATTGTCATAATCACGTTCGGTGAGATGTGTTCAACATTCATTATTTTTATTTATTACAGGTATTTGTATAATGCCAACAATTGACAGGTGTAGAATAGAGATGAGCAAATTGATTTGCATATTCTGTAAATTTAAAATTATTATTTTGCTTGAATATGCGCAATTAGTCTCACAGTATTATCAATGATTGCCATGATTCATGCACTGTCACATATTGTACCGTTCTGCTGCGCAGATTCTGGTGAATTCCCAAAATTGCTAATTTGCGCAATTTTTGCATTACATTTCTTATTTGGGAATGGAGTATGCTAATTATAGGGCTTTGGCTTACAACAAATTTTACATAGAATTAAGGTTTGCAAACCCAGTGTATTAATATTTTGACTTAGTAATTTAATTAAGGGGTGTTCATTGATTGTATTTTACAGGTGGATCACATAGACAAGAAAGGACAGAGTGCCTTGGTGCACAGTGCTCTGAGAGGACACTGCAGTATCCTCAAGTTTTTATTGAATTGTGACTGGACATCTTCAAACCAACAGCCAAATTATGTAAGACGAAGCCATGCCCTCCAACAGTCTCTGACTGCAGCGGCCAGTATGGGACACACAGAGGTAAGAAACAAATCACCTTTGGCCCAGCCCATTCTCAGTTCTTAATGGGGTTGATACAAGAAAAGCTTAGTGGAATGTATGCAGTATGAATTGTAATCTTAGGCAAGTCCTTTGTGTTTCATGACCTTGTACCATTACACAGGTCACAGAACTCCAAGGTGGTGTCCTACAATACAGAGGGCAGATTCCTGTAGTGTTATACAAAATATGTTTAAGGATAGTAAAATAGAACTGCTTCTCACAACAGCCAGTCAGATGTCTTTCCCCATTCCAACTAATTGGATTCCATTGTTTGTTCACTCAAAAGAAGAAAGAGGAAATTTGCTACCTTTTTAACTGGAACCTATAAAAAAAAAACTTTGGGGGCTTCCATTGCTGACCCTCTTTGTGAAAATGGCAGTTGCCTGACTGTTATGCTGGTTCACTTCTAAAATATTTTGACTTCAACAAAATGGAGGCCATCTGGACATAGACACCCACTTCCTTTTGCATAAATGTGAATTAAACGGTAAAAGATGGCTTCAGTTCCTGTTCTGCACATGTAGAGCACACCTCGGATGCATTTCACCCTTTTCGATGCTTAATTGTAGAGACACTCCTATGAAACAGGCAGTTGGTGTCTGTGTGCAGGCGACCACTATTTTGTTGAAGTCTACTGGAACTTGACAAGCCAATCCTCTCGGTCTTGCACCAGTTTATCCACACGCTGATCTGACTAATATAGGTTTGGGGCAGCGACGGACTGACCATTTGGAAACTCGGGCATAGCCCGAGGGCCCGGGGTCAGTAGGGGGCCCCATGAGATGCCCCTGGTACATTTTTCATAGGCTTTTTTGAGTTTGGGCAAGGACACAGGGGCCCCATGATTCCCTATTGCCCGGGGGCCCCATGAGTTGTCAGTCCGCCCCTGGTTTGGGGGGTATTTTCATTGTTTTGGGCTTCAAAATTTTGAGCCACTAAACCAAAAAAAAAACATGCAGATCAGATATTCTGACTTCACTGGTATTCTTGAGTCAGTGACTCAAAGTATTGAAGTCAAGGGACCACCTAGCAATTAGCGTATTCAAAGAGAGGTCACACATTGCAGTCACCAGTCACAGTAAAGATTTATTTTTAAAGCTGAATTATGTGTATATCAATACTTCTTTTACAGTTGACCTTTTGGATAAAAGTGGCCTTGGGTTGACAGGGTCACTTTAAGGGATTGGTACTCCTATTCCACTTACTGTAGTTGCCCAGAGCACACGCAGGAGGCTAAATGCAGTTAATACACAACAATTATTAAACAGCTTTTTCTTTCACACTGCCTTGGACAGCCATTAACCAACAGGTCCTGTTTCACAATGGAGATGGAAACCGGAGACATGACTTTTATGAAGCTGGCAGTTGGGTTCTCAGAACTGGCTGTCGTATCATTTGATATGCTGTGTGATGCAGTAAAATGGAATACAATGCTCCCAAAGTTCCAACTTAATCTCAGCTTTACCAGCTAAACAAGCCTAGCAAAATCATTAGGATACTGTGGTTAACCAAAAACAAATTCTTATTAGGATTCGCAGGTGTGCAGTATGCAGGCATACTGAATGCATTATAGTAGGGGATCACCCCTTTCCCCCACAAGTATAGAGCACATGAAGAAACATGCAGAATTTTGCTAACTAGGTAAATTGCTGTATCTGGTCTGTCAGATAGTAATGGTAAATGTGTGCGGTGTTGTGGAAAGTTTGTGTCTGGCCACAGAAATCCACCCTGCTTGAAGCATTATGATTTGGAGCTCCAGTAGAAGACCCCCAAATCTCTTATTTTGCACAGCTGCTTACATTCTATAATAGATATGGCTGTAGCTACCTATTGGGATTGGCCAAGCCCTGCTCAACTGCCTGCGACTTTCAAAGGTTGCATTCACACTTGAGTGTTTTGTAGCTTGAAGCTCGAAGCTCCAAAAAAGCTCAAACTTAAAAAAACTAATTGTTCACTATGGTGCCTGTTCACACCTGATCGCGCAAACAGGCACCATAGAGAACAATTTATTTTTTAAGTTTGAGCGTTTTTGGAGCTTCAAGCTACAAAACGCTCAAGTGTGAATGCAGCCTAATAGCAGTGCTTCTGATGGCTGATGAAACACGCTTACTGGACAGTGATGGCAGTTGGAAAGGCTGAGCTGAAATATTTCATAATTCAAACGGAAACTAAGTTAAAGAGACGGGGATTAATATACACCAATCGGCCATAACATTATTAAGTAAAGTTAATAGCATTAATTATATCTCATTATGGCATCTGCAAGTGGGTTTGATATATTAGGCACTAAGCGAACATGAAGTTCCTGAAGCTAATGTGTTAAAAGCTGGAAAAGTGGACAAGTAGAAGGATTTGAGCAACTTTGACGAGCCATATTGTAATGGCCAGACAATTAGGTTAGAGCATCTCCAATACTTCAGCTGTTGTGGGATGCTTTTGGTCTGGATTGGTCAGGACCTAACAAAAGTGATCCAAAGAAGGAAAACTGGCATCAGGGTCATGGACTGCCAAGGCTTATTGATGCCTGAGGGGAGGGAAGGTTGGTGCTTGTAGTCCAATCCAGTAGAAAAGCTACTGTAGCTCAAATTACTGAAATAGTTAATACAGAACTGAAGTCCCAATGTAAGAAACAGCAAGCAAGCAGGCATTTATTGCAGAAGAAACTAGCAATGTCTCTGCAATAAAATGCATCTATCTGCATGCTTGTTGTCTTCTCTGGCAATGTAAACTGAGCTGTGAATGAGCGCTGAGCTGGTTTCTGTGTATCAGAATGACAGCCTCCTGTACATGTGCAGGGGTGATGTCATCCCACGCAGACCGATAAGAATGACAGAAGACCAGCACACAGGGCAAGATGCGGGCGAGGGACAGGACTGTTAAAGGAAAGGTATGTTTTAACTCCTTTTAGTTCCACTTTAAATCTTGTATCTGATAGAAAGTCGTCAGAACACACAGTGCATTGCAGTTTGTTGTATATAGGGCTGCACAGCTACAGACCAGTCAAGGTACCCATGCTGATCCGTGTCCACAGCCAATGGGAACATGAGCATGAGAACTAGACCACGGAGCACTGGAAGAAGAATGGCCTGGTCTGATGAATCGCGTTTTAATTTACATCATGTGGATGGGCAGGTGCATGTGCGTTGCTTACCAGGGGGAAGAGATGGCACCAGAATGCACTATGGGAAATCCAATCCATTCAGGCCCCACCTTGTAATCTAGAGGACCTAAATGGTCTGCTGCTGATGTCTTGGTGCCAGATACCACAGCATATCTTCAGAAGTCTAGTGGAGTCTATGCCTCAATGGGTCAGAGCTGTTTTGACAGCATAAGAAGGACCTACTCAATATTGGGTGGGTTGTCAAAATGTAATGGCTGATCAGTGTATGTATATATATATATATATATATATATATATATATATATATATATATATATATATATATAATTTTTGTTCTTGTTACTGCAAATGCATTGTTTCTGTCCATTGGACAAGCTGAGTAGTGGATCCCAGTGCCAAAGTCAACAGACAAATGTTTTCCAGTCCTTGTTCTCATGGATATATCATTTCCTTTATGGCTAGCTTAAGGATAAGTTCACCTTTTAACAAAAAATAAGACGTGGCTTTTTTTTTTTTTTTGCAGGTAAAAAAATGTGCATTTACTATTTTTTGTTTTTGGAGTATGGGAACGATTGCACCAGCGATCAGCAGATCACTGGTGCCATGCAAGACTCCTGCAGTGTAGTTTTGTGCTCATACCTCATACTGGCAAGCAGATATACACTGACAGGAAGAATCGATGAACTACCATGGCACTGAACAGCGCCATGGTAGTTCATTGGGAATTACAAGCCAACCGCCACAAAGGCTGTCGGAACTCGTAGTTTTCCCATTCACAGAAATACTGTGAATGAGTGACGTGGCCGGGTGAGCAGAATCCCACACTGCCACGTTTATTTAAAAATTGTGTCAGCTAGCAGAGAGAGGGGTGGGGAGAAAATTCCCCACTAGCTGTCACATGGGAGAGCGGGGGCCTGTCCTTTCATTACATGTTACACGCTGAATATGGGTGTAACATGTTACCCTTTAACGTATAGCCAACAGTCAGCTCTCCTTGGTGAAGCAGTATGGAAGCTGTTTGCTGATATTTTGCTCTAAGTTACAGCATGTTGCTCTTCACTTTTTCCTGAGCAGCCTTTTCAGAGGGCTTGAAGTTTCTACAGGCTGACATCTCTAATCCATGTACTCTGTGTCCTGTGGTCGTTCTGAAGTTATAGGGCCTTTAATTATAACAATATGATTGTCATAATGCTGCCATCTACACTGTATTATAGGCTTCATGGAGGCACGCCTGCCTCTTGTTTTGAAGATCTTGGTGGATTGTGCAAGCTTTAGGTCAGATAAAAGAAACACTTTTAGAACTGTTTAGAGAAGCGAAGAGAAAGAGATGGGGTGACTTTAATGAAAGAACACATTGAAAGAAGATGGTATAATTGGATCTCCAAGCATATCAAATACATAAAAGACAATTTTGAAGGAAAATTTCTATTTGAGTAAAATATTCAGATTTGAGAACAGATTCTTTGTTTTTCTTTTATGTTATAATTGTCCTATTTGACTAAATCTTTGTGTAGTACAGTAGATAAATGTCCTGTTTTTCCTTCTAAAGCTGGCCATCTACAGCTCGAACTCCTGCTGAATCGACTGATATGTGGGCTCTGTTAGCATCCCTTGGCTTGACAAACTGGGTGCTGCGACTGCTAGAATACAATAGTCGGCAGCAGAGATACCTCCATCAGTGCTGTTTAATGTGGATGGGAGAACCTACTAGATTGTTTTCATTCAGGCCATGTGCTGAACACAAGAATCTGTGCATGTATTGCTTGCTTAGAGAGTCATGACCATCCATAATTTGTCTTTGGGAGACTCTTGCTGGGTGCAGTTGCTGTAACGTGTCTCTATCGGGTCTGCTTTTATAGGAGTATGTGAGGAACTCAGCATGGGCTGTGTGACAATAATCATTACTGTCAAGCCAAGTGACACCTGTCCTAACAAGAGTAGGGGGTGAGAATTTTTTGGTCAGTATCCTGGAGAGTAGTTATTTTGAGTGTTGAGTTATAGTAGATGTCCACTCAAAGGGAATTATTCGTTTTTTTGGTTCAGTGGTTACATCACTAAATGCTGATATTTCAGCAATGAGTGAACACTGCTTACAAGAGTCTCACTGCTTCAGCTGCATCCTCTGTAATGTAAAACACAATATTTATTAGCAATACTGGGATCAGATTGTAATAGCTAGTAGCAGTGGGCGGAGCTGGGAACTTATGTACAGATACCTCACTGAGCCCTGAAGGGTTTTGGAATGCCAGAGCATCATACTTGTAGCATTTTTTTCTTTACGTCCCATTGATTCACTGGGTTTGTATTGTAACTTGATGCGGTGCTTGTGCAAAACACTGTAATCTCAGGCAAAATATTACAAGCTAAAGCATTTTAAGAAATGGCATTTTTCCCACATTAATTGCGACTGGTTGCAGCTGTTCCTGTCCAGAGTGTCGACATTTTCTTGGCCTTCATATTTTCATGCTTGAACGTGAACATAATTATGATTACATGTAGTTCTGCATAGTTCCCATAACATTACCCGTCACTGTACAGCTGTGCATTAAGCAGATAGAAGAGGGGGAGATGGTGATTGAACCCTGCTTTAGATCTCTGATGCTTACTTCTTGTACAGGTTCACATACAGATATAAATATTAAGGTGGATGTATTGCTAAAATTCACTCTGAACTTCAATGAATAGTGCACATGTCATCCTTGGCAAAGGTAACCTAGGCACTAAAGATCATTCAGTCTCTGTCTATTGGACTTGAGATGAGGCCGGAGATGAGCATGGCAAAACCAGGAACCTGTGTTTTCATATATAATGAGTAAAAATGGCTGTCCCCATGTACATCTGTAATTGCAAACTATACATAGAAACACTTTTTTTTTCTTTTTCCATTGATTTTGTATCTATATTCATTGCTCCATTAATTTACATTAACGTGGCCATAATGCAACACACCAAAGCAGACAGATGGTAATGGGTCCTTAAATCACTGGAGAGTTTTTGCTGATGTTTGTTCCCCAGTTAAGAAGACTTCCTCTTGCCATGTAATCACTGGGATAGAAAGTGAAGGGAACTCTTACCTAAGATTGTATGTCTTTTGAGGGTTAGGGACTGATGTGAATGTACAATTTATATGTAAAGTGCTGTGTAAATTGATGGTGTTCTATAAGTACGTGAAATAAATAAAGAAAAAGTTTACCTTTCATAACATTACATGTTGCACCCATATCCATGGTGTAATGAGCAACCCCTGAACCCCCCCAGAGCCCCTGTAGTGATAGCGGGCTGGGGATCGTCTCCCCACACCCGCTGTCACAATTTTCTTTAAAAATGTGGTGGTCATTCATTCACAGAGTTCATTGTGGCTGACGGCATGAGTTCTCAATGAACTGCCAGGGTGCTGATGAGAGGTCTAGTAGTTCATTGATTCATCCTGTCATTCAGTCACTGCCTGCCTGTACGAGATACAGGCAGACCACTACACTGACATTCTACAGGAGTCTAAGATCCTAATAGATAAAAATAATAAATGCACATTTTTTTTTTACCTGAATTTTTTGTTTCGTGTTTTTTTTTTTATTTTAACTATAGGTGACGTTTCTTTTTTGTAAGTTCATTTTAAATATAAGATACACATTGTCCATAGACCTTCTTTTTTGTTTGACGCTGCTTTTCTCTTTTCCAGGTGGTGAGATGCCTCTTGAACCATGAGAAAGGTTCCCCATTAGACATCAATGAGAATGACACACTTTGGGGAGAGACAGGTAGAGCAATTTGTTAACTGCTTAACTCCACATTCGAATATTTGCTGCTCCATCTCCAGTGTTGTTAAACCTGTATTGTGTTTATACTACACTTATAATTAGGAGACTCTTGTAGCATTTGAGGGAAAATTTGGAATGATTCAGAATCATTTACCATGTTTTAACAAAGGAAATATCCTCTGTAAGCCAGATCATCCTTTGATAGTGCTTGCCGTATCATAATACTAGTCGTTTTTGTAACCACTTGGTTTGCTAATGTCTGTTGGGTTATCACAGGTGATGCAACCGATATGTATTGGTGGACCTTCTGCAGGCAGCCATGGTGTGTGCAATACAGACCTCACCTAGCTAGAACTTAGCATATCTTTATCACAGTGTGACTCTCAATGATATCATTGGTTGGAAAAATTTGATAGTTTGCTCCAGACTATAAAAAGAAAAGGTTTCTTCAACTTGGTTTGTAAAAGCCCAGCTGCAGCCTTGGATGTAATAGAGAGGTTTTGAAGTCTCTGTAGGGTTTTTATTGCTATTTTTGTTACTGTTGTGGAGATTTCCCCTCACTTCCTGTTTGGACAGGGAATTATAGGAAATCCTCCCAGCGGGATCATAGAACAGAACAAAAACACATTTTCTAGGGAAAGGGGTTAGACTGGTAATGACAGTACTCCTCCATTTCTGTACGGGCATCACAAGAACAGGAAGAGAGGAAAAATCTCCCCAATGGGGTCACAGTTTAAAAGAAAACTTGAGAGGAAATTTAAATCTTCTGAATTTTATTCAAAACAAAAAAGAAACAATGGCTGGAGTTAGGCTTTAACTCCACTATAATGTGCCATTGCAGTGGAAGCTCTGAGTGTAGTTTATACTAGGGGTGCACCGAAATTTCGGTGGCCGAAACGTGTTGGCCGAAAACACCCCTTTTGGTCGTTGGCCGAAATGAAAAAAAAAGCACCTATACAGGTGCCAAAAAAACCTCACTGCCGCCTGCCTGCCGCTCGGTAGTTGAGCCTTACCTGAGAAACCATCGATCCTGGCGCTGGGCATAGAGATGAGTGAAGGAAAGATGGCCGCCACCCATCTCTATGCCCTTGGAGGACCGGAGCGATGTCACTTCCCGTTCCACCCATATTTTTTTTTTCTTTTAAAGCACTAGATCAATGCGCTTTTTTTGTCTTATTGACCCCACATCTCTCCATAAAGAGGACCTGTCGCTAATTATTTCTATCACAAGGGATGCATGCATCTCTTGTGATAAGAATAAAAGTGATTACATTTTTTTTTAAAGGGACAGTGCAAAAAACCAAAAACATTAAATAAATTAATAAATAATAGGTTTAAAGTGCCCCCGTCCCCCCGTGTTATGCCCACATATGTAAATGGTGTTCAAACCACACATGTGAGGTATCGCCATGAATGTCAGAGCAAGAGCAATAATTCTCGCAATAGACCTCCTCTGTAACTTTACACTGCTAACCTGTAGAAATTTTTAAAGCATCACCCATGGAGATTTTTAAGTACCGAAGTTTCACGCCATTCCACGAGCGTGCACAATTTTAAAGCGAGACATGTTTGGTATCTATTTACTCGCTGTAATATCCTCTTTCACTTTCATATTTTACAAAAAAATTGGGGTATATATTGTTTTTGTTTTTTTTAATCAGTGTATTTTTTTTCTAAAAAATTTATATTCATTTTTAAAAACTGCGCATTTCGGTTTTGGTTTTCGGCCAACTGCATTTTGAATTTTCGGTTTCGGCACCACTACTGTATACTGTATCGATGAACCATAGTTCAGAGGGAAAAACCATGAGGGTTCTGCAACTTGATACTGCTTCCAAATAGCCATAGCAATGACCGTTTATCCCCCTAAAAGCTGGAGTAAGATCTGTGTATGTACAATTGCTTTGCAGAATGTGAGTTTACTGGCACATTATTTGAGTGCACACACCATTCACATTGACCCGTGACCCACCTTATGCTGGCCATTTGTTAAAATGAAAAATGACTCTAGGATATTTGACCCCTTTCTTCCTTTTAGCTGCCCTCTCTTGTACATTTACAAAGTACACAGCACACACACGGCTTCCTCGAGGTGTAGATCATGCACTAGCACCAGCAGGTGCACTTAAATCCACTGCGAGGAATTAGGTCATCCTCTGTTGCCTCAGCCTGTTGTTGAAGCAGCTATTTTCTCCCATCAAACAAGTTATAACAAAAGAAATATTCTCTGTGAACCAGGTCATCCTTTGACTTTGCCTTTTAGTATTCTGTGTTGGCAAAACATAGCTTTTCCCATGCCACACCTTGATTGTTAGCCCAGCACTGAATGAACCCAGATAAGATCAGCTGTTGCTTCGCTGTGTGTTCCACAGAAGCGGGGCTGACTGTTAAACATGATGGGACAGGATGAACAAACCGCCTGCCTACACCCTGTTGGGTGCTTTTATGGAGCACTTTTCCATTTATGCCTTTATCGTTAGAATTGTTTGAAATGGTTTCATCCATTTTCTCTCAAGCTAGAACTATAAAGGGGTTGACTGCCATAAGCGTATTCCTTCCCCACTGCTTTTTAAAGGGGTAAATCCAACTTTTTTAACCCTCTCTGGCTAACATAATTTTAATTAGGACAGCAAAATTATCAGATTTTGAATAGTATTCATTACCTGCTTAGTTCTGTTATGCTTCTATGCAGTCTTAAAGTGGTTACAAAGGCTACTTTTTTTTCTTAAAATAATAAAAATGTTATTCTTACCTGCTCTGTGCAATAGCATTGCACAGAGTGGTCTCTTACCTCCTCTTCTGGGGTTCCCTACCTGTGCCCCCATGTGAAGCTGGCTGATTCAGCGGCACCTGTTTAGGCTGGCCATACACTATACAATTTTCTATTTAATTTCTGCCCAATTTCCTTTAGATTTACCTTCAACTGTGTAGTGCAAGGGTCTGCCTAATTGGATACAACTGAGTGTTGTTAGGTTTGACCTCATATTATATGGTTTTTGGTAAATCTAAAGCAAAAATCTCAAGAAAATTGGATAATGTATGGCCAGCCTTAGGCACACTCCTGAGCCAGGCTGGGTGTGTCCATAGACACAGCACAGCTTCCCCCCATAGGATTTTATTGACAGTAGAAGGAGCCAATGCCCCTGCGTCCTCTGAGAGCAGGTAATGCACTGCTGCAGATGGCACAGTGCTGGATCGAGAAAGGACTCGGGTAAGTGTTGGGGGGGGTCATTACAAAATTACCCCAGTAACTGAGCTTTTGTGTAACGTGGGTATTATTGTAGTGTACTACTGCTAGTATCTGTTGCCATCTGGTGTCTGTGGCCTGCTCCCACAGTCTTAGAGCTTAAGCCCTCATGCACACTTGACGTTTTTACAGCGGCTGTTTTTGGCTTTTGACATTTTTTTTTTTTCTACAGCCAGTAAAGCCCCCCAGCATGTTATCCTCTGTGTCCATGCACACATAGACTGTAATCAACATTTTTTGGCTGAAAAAAACCCCAGGACTAGTGGGTTTCTAGAGGAGTTTTTTTAGCTGTAAAAACACTGTAATGCTTCAAAATGTGGTAAAAACACCACAATCTGGCGTTTTTGGACGTTTTTTTTTACCATAAAAAAATTTTTATTTAAAAAAAAAAAACAAAAAAACCCCAAAATACTAAAAACTGCAAATGCGGAAAAACGCAGGAAACCGTTGCTAATCGGGACAAAACGCCACTAAATGCTAATGCAAAAATGCTAAAAGAAAATGAAAATCTCACATTCTTAACATGACTTTACACAGCTAACGTTACCAGCGTTCTCAAAACGTCAAGTGTGCAACAGGGCTAAATGTTAAAGCGTACCTTCACCGCCTTCTTACATTTTCCATAATATTACTATTCCTCTTTCCTTTCTAACAACTGCAGATTAAAACTTGTTAAACTTGCCCTGTATTTCCAAATTTCCCATTTAGGCGAGAATGACATAGCCCCTGTATCTTGTAGCCTTCTGGGATACTCACACCAGGCATCCCAGGAATCTTCAGGGCCATGTCTGATGCATGGTACATGTGCCGCAGTGTGTCATCAGGGGGTCTGATGCAAGAAACTTGAAAAAACAGCTGGTTCCCGAATACATGAAAAAGGAAACTGTCGGTGTGAGATCTGGTGTGTAGCATCACAGTGGCAGATTACGACAGTCTGTGTTCTTTAGAGGGGATTTTCCTTCACTTCCTGTTTTTTGGGGAATTCAGGAAGTCAGAAAGTCAGTGGAGAGTTCTCCAAAGGAATGGAAATCCTCTCCTAGACAGTTATTACCAGAACAAGTGTCCCATTTGTAAGATTTTCCCTCTAATCCTGACTCTGTGACAACTCAAACCTTTTTTTAACATTATTTCCCAATTAAAATGGAGAAAGAGAATCTCCCCAGCAAAGGCACACACAGCATTAAATCCCTTACACAGGATCTAACCCTTCCCCATTCTACCCCCCGCCAAACAAAAAAATGGTTTAGATACCTTTTATGCAACTAATGTATTATTTTATCAGGTTGAATAGTAGTAAAGGAGAGATTAAACATCTGTCCTTGGAATGTTTAACCACTAAGAATGTTGCAATGTGGTGATACATTTATCCCTTTCAAGAAGAAAACCTTTCTAATCATGGGACCTGACAACAGTTCTTTCCAAGAAACAAATGTGTTTTAAAATCCATCTGACCTCTATTTATATAACCATGGGTATTCTTTGATCATTTATCTTCAGCTTAGCTGATTGGATGCACATGTCTCATGTTTAGTTTTTCTTTAGTTTATGACTTTGAAGAGGATGTTATGGTCGTATTTTGTGCTTTGGATCAATTTATTGTGTTGGATTCTGAAATGTAAGATTGTATAATATATCCCAACAGAAATGGGGTTGATTTATAAATGTTTAGAAAGTTAGTAAGTAATGGCAATGTGTAACATTTTACTGCTTTATTATCCATGAGACTCTAGTGCAGTTTAGGACAACCTAGTAG